AGTGCTCTGCGGAGAGAGAGTTCCATTGCTTGTAAATTAGTTTATAATAGTTAATGTGATTCATTAGTTGGATTAATGCACATGTTTCTATCATCAATTTGCATATAAAGTGCAGTTGTATCTTTATCTTCTATTGTCGCTTTAAATATTTCTTTTGAATGCAACTTTTAGATTAATACAAAGATTTTTGTTCTTCAACAGAATGTAAATAACTCTACAACAGCTTCTACTTTTTGTGACCAAGTGCGCGAGATACAACTTGTTATTAAGACAAAATTAGAAGTTATAAGTTATTGAAAAAAAGTGTATTTTTTCTTGATTTAAAAATATTAATTATTTGCATGACTCAAGGTCAAGTGAGACTTAATACTTTTTCATATAAATAACTTTATCTACAATTGTTCTAAACTAAACTTAAAAAGTTCTTAATCTATTTTGAGGATGTTGTTTGATGAACATATTGTTGATAAGTCTAAGTTAAGAGGTTCAAGTAAGAAAACACAGGCAGAATATATTAAATTTATTATCTTTTTATGTTAATATTGCAAAGGAAATATTACGTTATTATATGAAAAGACTGAATTTTTCTTATATTAGTAAATTTTATTAGTCAAAACATTGAGTTTATAATAATACAATTCAGCACTGATAATCAGTATTATATATATATGTAAAATCCATTATGGAAATTAGACTGCCTTAAAAATGATACATCTTATAGCAAAATTTGGTTGATGTCTTAAAATAAGTCTTTCTTTTTATACTGCATAAATTATGTATAGAATTAAAGGGACATATTTGTTTTATTTCTATAGGAATTTATATTATTTAATATCTAGAAGTATTTAAATGACCATATGTGAATTATGAAAACTGTCCTGCCTATGTGTACAAAAGACTTTAACTTGGGCATACGGGCAGAAAAAATAATGTGCAAAAGTCTTAAATATTAAGTTTTTTATTTTTTTAAAAATTGTCGATTTTAGTTACTTCTCATAATCATGGCCCACCACTTACGAAGACCAATGAAGCGCGATTTGTACAAGCCATTTGGAAGGAGAAAGGTATAAATTATTAAAATTATAATTTTCGGACATTCGCATGAAAAGGTGCTACTTTGGCACTCTCTAAACCTGATTCAGTGACTCTAATCTCACGGTTTCAATCAGTGAAATTTCATTGAAAATCAGTTAAAATTATTGAATTATCAATCACTTTTCACTTATTTGCTAATTAAATATAACTGAAATTTTCAGTTTTTAAAGAAATCTTAAAAATGAATTTTTTAATTGACTAACAATTATAATTACCTGTCGTCAAGCATCCAGTAGTACACAGCAAAAACAAAGTCTTATTCAATCATATAGAGAAAAAAAATCAGATAATGTATCCAACTCGTTAGACTCTGAAGCGCGATCCACTTAATTAATAAGGCCAACTATTTCTTGGATAATACATTCAACTGTTTAACTGCATTATGATTTTTACAATAGGCAGGGTGCCGTTTCAAAGAATCAATATATAGTTAAGTGCGAATATATTGATTGAATTAGTAAAAATTCTCCTGATTTCAATTTTGAGATAATGGAATGGAAGTTTGATCTTTCGTAGTAAAATATGAATTCTATCAGTTTGGCTAAGTGAAATTACTTTATTTAAATTCCTTAAGGAATGCAATTTAACCTAGAGTCAGTGAAAAACTTGTAACGAAATAAAAAGCTATAATAATGCCAACAATATAACTGGAAAAAACAAACATCTTTAATTTACTACCTAAAGAGTGTAAAGTTTTCATTCGAGTTAGTTGCGGAGGCGCGCATGCATTTACAATATTATTTGTTTAAGCATCAGTTTGCCGGGTATTTTGAAATTACGAAACAGCAGCCAATCAATGCAATGAAATTTGACACATGCGCCCTGGCACGTGTTTCACCCCCTTTGGCAGGAAGTGGAGGGAATGACTGCTGAGCGCATAGTTTTCGATCGATATTGTATGGGGGTGTCGCCCGTGTTCTGCACTGCTTCCATCTTATGGACAAAATATAAAGAATCGCGAGTTAGTAATTACTAATACTACTCGTGTATTAAAAAGGGATGAAAATGTCAGTTATTGTGTTATAATGCCGGTATAAATAAGGTTTCGTAGTGTCTTTAAAAATGCATATTTGCTCGGGTGAAAACGTGTGCACATGTCTCAGGTCAATGATTGGTTATTAAGGACACGCATGCTCTTCGGGAATTTCAATTTATAAATTATATGTGCTTAATAATATACTATTTGCGAATCAAAGCAAACACAAGTGACGATAACACTATAGTGTTTAAATAATTGTTTATTGTCAGGGAAACGTTCCATACCCAATTGATGCAGAAGCAGCAAAATTAAATGCCGACAATGTACCTAAAACAATTATTTCTCTCGAGTTGTGATTATAATTACTTTGCAATGTAATGCAAATTAATTTCGTGTTTATTAGAATAATTGATGTATAGTTTTCTTACTTACCAGAGTGTAACTTGTTATTTGAAGAAAGTTCTTATATTGCATCTTTAGAAACATTTACAAAATTTAACAAATTTTTTTTATTTATCAACACAAATATTTATGTAGGTATATAATTTGTACAAAAGGCGCAGTTTGAGAAAACTTTAATATGTATTCCTTTGTTTAATGAAATTATCCAAACCCCCAGAGTTACTATAATTACAACTGTCAAAAGTGGGTCATTCAACAGAAATGAATCAACTTTTTAACGAATATCTTTTAGAACCTATAGAAGTTGTATAATATAAATAATATTGTTGATATTGGATTATTTATGTTATTTCAAGTTATTCTTCAGGTACTCAAAATAAACAGTTGATTCAAATTATGTGGCTTACTTGACTATTAGGTATAAAATAAATATTTATATTTGTGTCAAAAACAAATTATTGATTATTCAAATACATAGTTCATTTGACTTATTAAAAATTATTTTTTAATGTAAATTAATAAATTAATTTAAGTAAATATTTATTTGATAAATATTAAATTTGTTCATTTTTTAATGTATATTTTTACATAATTTTAATGCAATTTTGTTTTAAAAAATTAGGTACAAGATTGAGAAATGCAAAGTAAATATAATGTAATACAGTGGAAAAGAGATCTTTTTGTTTTTACTGTAAAATATGGAAAATGTTTTAAATAATCAAAACGTAATTTAATTTACTGATATAAATCGAAGAAAAATTTTAGACAGGAATCGATTCATTAAATTCTCCCACTTTAAAAATTATCATTGACTTTCTTGACTTTCTTGAATCGGTCGATGGTCACTATTATATCCTAATTGCAAAAAATAGTTTGGTTCAATTAAACAAAGTCCTTCTTCATATACATAAGTTCCCCTAAAACTTTGGAAAAACAATTTATTGATCACGGCTTTATTATACATTCAATTTTATAGTCTATACCCAAAGTTTGATTATGAATCTTGAAGATTGTAACTAATTGATGTGCATTCCATTTTAGAAATGAAAATGTTGGCTCCTTGTCGGTTTTAAAAGTACATTTTCTTAATTCGGAAAAGTTACTGGATAATACTTACGTGAAATGAAAAGGACATATTCACAGAAAAGTTACAAAGTTGTTCGAATGGCTTGTAGAAAAAAACGAAAAAAGTAGACTAAGTAAATGATAAGCTAGTTTAGTGTCCTTAAAAATGTGTTCAGTAAGACATTTTAACGAAGAAAAATTTTCAATATTGAATGCAAAAGGCTCAATTCGGTAGCAACCTCACTTGCATTTTGGATTAAGAAGATTGTTAAAACAGTTAAAACATAAGGAAACTTTCAAAAATTACCAGAAAACTTTACAATTATTTTTGGCAATGATTGGATATAATCAACATAATTCTGGTTACAACAAACTTTTTACTCAGGTAATATAATATAATGTATTTAATAAAGCTTTACTAGCATCAGCAGGTTGAATAATAGAAATCCACTGAATTTCAAACTGCATTTTTATCGAATCAAATATTTAATTTTGATGCAAAATTGATATTTTTGGAATTTTTGTCGCTGCTTCTAGTGGCTTCTTATCGTAAAAGTTGTAGGTTTTATCCTTAAGTGTTATAAACTAGAAGCAGAAAATTATTTTTGAGGGACAATACTTACAACACTATATACATATCGCTCTAGTGCGAAATAGAGCAGCGAAGTGTATTCTATCCAGTGTCAAGCTGCCGTACCGTAAGCGGCCTTTTTTAAAGTTAACTCGAGCATACATAACAGTCCTTTACCTCATGAGCCCCACACGTGTATGTATTGACCACCAGTTTATTTTACGACTTTGTAACGTTAGTACCTCATATAATTTTGTTGTTTACTTACTCAAAGATTGTCAACAATATATTGAAAATACACTACTTATAAATGAGCTTCCAAGAAATCCTTCGTAACTTTAAATTGGTGGGTATAGTTAATATACAAATGTGTACGTTGGGCTACAATTGGAATATTAATTCATTGATTAAGCTGTGTCATGTACTGAATAACAAGATGTTCTAAAAATGGTTGTTGCAGCTAAGTACATAATTCAATGGTGCTTTATGAATAGTTCAACCCCAATCTTTTTTCTGAGTGCACATATTCACTGACATAGGTTATTTTGAAATCCTTCTTTTCAATTGTATAATAAAACTACTTGTAAAAGCGGTGTTTACGATAATGTTGTGCAAACTAAATTGTTTTCATCATAAAATTGAGATTGACGATGTTCGGAGAATGCAGGTATAATTAGAGACAGATGATTGAAAAAAACGAACAAATCTTATTACGTAGCGTAAAAGAGAGAGAATTAGTTTAGATTTTAAAAACATATTAGGGTAGATACATGCTGCGAGTGATGCGCAACAAGCAAACTGAATGTTTTACAGAGATTCAATTCTTTCAAAACTTACTATTCATTCGTAATAAATGAAAAAAATTTCTTATATATTGTTTAATTTCAGGGCTCGGCGGATTCAAACTACTCACAGCCGAGTTCCGATCTTTCACTGGATGAAGAAAGAGAAACTTTACGTCGAGAAAAAGAGAAACAAGCCCTCAATCAACTCGAAAAAGCTAGAGTAAGTCTTATTCGTAATAAGTATACGCATTCCATAACGGATCCAGGGGTGGGGGGCACTGCCTTCCCCTCCCATGGATCCATCATCATTAATTTAGCATTTCATAAATAGGGGCCAAACTTGAATTATGTAGTGGTTATTAAAGTATCAATTTTAACACTTTCCCCTTCTTTTGTTACTCTAGAGCTCTCAGAGTGCGTCCATCGAACATTGAATATAATAATTATAGTGAGCTTACGCGCATAGAATTAATTATAGAATAAAAAAGGGTTCTATATTCTAAACGTTTTTGTTTTTTAAATATATTTTAGTACTGTAACATTAACGCTATCTATAGAAAATTACATTTTCCTTCCATAATATATTATGGTTATTCACTGATTTTAAATTAAATGAGTGAAATTTCCACTGCATACCAATTAGTGACTCACTAAAAACGTCTTATAATTCATAAAAAGCCTTCAGTCTGTATCGAGAAGTAGTGCAAAGTAGTGATGCTGCCGACTGAGATAGCGAAATGTGTTGCTCTTTGTTTTTTAAAATTGTCTGGTTTTAATTGTTGTAGACAAAACCGGTGGCCTTTGCAGTAAGAACGAACGTCAGTTACGATGGATCTGTTGACGACGACTCTCCAGTCCATGGATCAGCTGTCAGCTTCGATGTTCGGGACTTTCTCCACATTAAAGTAATTAATGAAAGTTTCAAATTAAAACGATAAATGGATAAATTTTCAATTTTTTGAATCTGCATAAGTGATACTGAAGAGGTTGACTACATATATGAAAGGAGAAGGGCTAAAATGTGTTTCTTATTCTGTGCAATGCAGGAAAAATATGATAACAATTGGTGGATCGGAAGGCTAGTGAAAGAGGGTTGCGACGTGGGGTTCATTCCTTCGCCGGTCAAGTTGGAGGCGTTGAGAGTACAAGCGAGTGCTGCACGCGGTACCAAGGGCCTCTATTCCACACGTGGAGGGTCTTCGGGGAACCTTGGTGAGAGCGGTATGCCCTCACGAGGTTCCACACCGCCCACACCAGGTACCTCACTTCTTGTGAACGTCCTCATAGGCGTAACTATTTTGGGCTATATGGGGGGGGCCATGTTGCGAATATTCACAAAATTTTATACCAGGGAGGATAAGAGATTATGCTTTCATTTTTAAACCTTTCCAAGGTCAAAGTTAACCGCATAGTTTATTGTAGTCTACCTAAGCAAATTGTTGTCTTCTAGAAAATGATGTTAGATAATCTATTCTTACCCTGGCAAGAACCCCTAGGACGTCTACAAGTTGTTACGCCTGTGAGTAGCCCTTATTCTTAAAAAGCTCTCACACCCTCGAAGACCCTCGAGGTAACTAATTTGTAAGGCAGCAGATAGCAAGTGTTGTTGCATGCACGAGTGTAGAAGTAGATTTTTAAAAATGAGTGGTTTCTTTATGTTCTCCTTAGGTGACGACAGTGATAGCATAGGAAATATTCGACCGGGTAAAGCAACTCTAACAACTCCACCAGCTAAGGAAAAAAGGAAGAACTTTTTTAAGAAGCCGGTAAACTCTCATTAAATAACTTATTCGGATAATATCTAATATTTTCGGCGTCAGAATTAACTTATTTCAAGAGTACCTATCAAAACCTATCATTCATCGAACAAGGGCGACTCTTCTAAAAATTACATAGTCACGACACTCCTGTCTACACGAGGGGGCATTTACTGGTTAAGAAGGTGTTATATAACTGTTACAGTGGTATTGCGCCAATGTAATACTGCGCTATAAATACCCCCTCGTGTTTACAAATATTTTAAATAATAAATTAAATAAAGCAAGCGCTAGCAAGGAAGATACTTCATTTTGAAAATTGTTTTTGATTTTTCCTTACTACAGGCCTCGGGTTATTGTTATCGTTAACACTTTTTGACCCTTTTTTCACTTCACGCAACTATTAATAACTATCTTGAAAAAAAGGTTACTAATGTACACTTATTTCACAATTTTATGACACTTTTGACACTATTTTTCATTTCGAAATCAGTCCGAGGCCTGTTATTACCTATGATCATTACAATTTATTTCTCGCTCCCTAAATTTGCCAAAATTTTCATTTTTTAACATAAAAGTTTTTTTATTCTCTCAACTTAGAAAAACTTTTATGTGCACGAAACAACTTATCTTGTTATTATAAGAACAGCTATACTTATATGTTAGCTATGGTAGTTAATATGTAACTTTTACAACAATAAACTTGCTAGCTATGTAAGCTAATTATTAGCTGCACTAAAGTCAGTTGCTATTGAATTTAATGACACTTAAGTTTAGTCCAATTCAGTGAATAACTTGACAGTTTTTCTAAGGGTATGAAATTAAGATTCGTTTTTTGTCTCAATTTGATATCCTTAGAAAAACTATGTTTTCTTTGAGTAGAACTAGTGATTTTTATTGAAGATCAGTGGAATTTCATTAATTTATACGTAAAAGTAACTGATTCATAAAAAAAATCATTGTTTGTATTGAATTCAGTGAAATTCTCATACTAATTTAGATTTATAGAGTAAAATTTGAGAAATCTTGGGATCCATGTCTCAATAGAAAAAGCTAATATTGTCATCAATATTGACCCTAAAGATTTTTTTTCCTTAGATAAGTATTTTCTTGTTAACTTGGTTACAGAATTAAACTCTGGGGTTAATATTGATCTAATATATTATAAATTCAAGGCTTGGTACTTGTTTCTGCATTCACATGGTTGGACCAATATTATCCATAAGGGTTGCTTTCTCAATGCAACAATAACTTTATAAAATGTGAATTGAAATGAAAATGTTCTTTTGATTTGAATTTATAATATCGCTTCAATTATATACATAGTGTGCTTGCAAGAAGGCTTGCAACTAATTCGATTAGATGCTTGTTTAAAAGATAAACTGAAATAAATATATGAACAACAAGATTTTCTAGTATGTTTTAAAAGATTCAAGCAAATTTTTCTGAAAGTGTAGTTAAATTAACTTATTTGTTATTCTGACTTTTGTTAATTCAGTAAGACATTCAGCAAAATTTGCTTGAATCTTGTAAAATTTAATTGGAAAATTTTGATAGCACTATATTTATTAGTAAAGCTTGTAAAAGTAACAACTTTTTCTTCGTGTTAGAGTTTCATACGTATAAGAAATCTTATATGGAATTCTATATAAGATCTGATATAGAATCCTATATGGTAATTTGCAATAGTTATGTCGATAGGCAATTCCATGTAGGATCCTTTATAATAATTCTTAAGGTGGTGTTAAAGTTGTTGCAAATTTGACATGGAGCATCAATGGAACCCCACTTGGAAAGATTACACTGAAAGTGCTCCTAGAGATTCCGTGGAAATTCCAATGCAGTTCCAATGACAATATTTTCTTCCTACAGAATCTCTAGGGGCACTTTCTGTGCACTGTGCAATCTTTCCATGTGGGAAAAGTATCACAATTTAGGGAAAAACATGTTTATTAATATTAACATAAAACAAAATAGGGTTAAGTTATAGTAGAAGGCCAGTAGAATTAGATCCACATTGTATTGCTTGGTCAAGAATTAAAAAATTGAGTAATCAGCTTAAATATTTATATAAAAGTATAAATTGAGATAATTCATGAACATACTGCTCCAATTTTGACCACGCAAAATATTATAAAATGCATGAATAAGATTTTCAAGGCCATTAACTGTTTCCAATGTTTTAATGTTTGCATTCCGTGCAAGTCCTACGTAAGTGAGACTTTCCTGCCGGTTTCTGTGGCATCCCAGTAACGGGGTCTAAGCTTAATAGTTTGTTAATGAATAAACGTTATTCCAGGAGACGGCAACACCATATGACGTGGTGCCTTCAATGAGACCAGTCGTTCTGGTAGGACCATCACTCAAGGGATACGAAGTGACTGACATGATGCAAAAGGCACTTTTTGATTTCTTAAAACATAAGTTCGCGGGAAGGTACAAAATTTAATTCTACCTTTTGAAACTTGCAGTTTATCCAAATGTACTGAACGTAAACATGTACTGAACCAAACATTTTTAGAATCATCATAACTAGGGTAATGGCTGATATTTCTTTGGCTAAAAGATCTTTACTAAATAATCCAACAAAAAGAGCAATTATGGAGCGGTCGTCTAGTAGGAGTAGTTGTTTAGCAGAGGTCCAAGCCGAAATTGAACGAATTTTTGAACTTGCCAGAACGCTTCAGGTACTTGGGAATTTTTTCAATTATTCTTTAAAGTTTGGAAACTGATTATTACAAAAAGGCAATTACTATCGTTTCAGCTCGTTGTTCTCGACTGCGATACCATCAATCACCCTTCTCAGTTGGCAAAAACGAGTTTAGCCCCTACAATTGTCTATTTAAAAATATCGTCTCCTAAAGTTCTTCAAAGACTAATCAAGTCGCGCGGAAAATCACAGTCCCGTCATTTAAACGTACAAATGGTAGCAGCGGAGAAACTAGCACAGTGTCCAGACGAAATGTTCGACGTCATTTTAGATGAAAATCAATTAGATGAAGCTTGTGATCACGTTGCTGAGTATCTCGAAGCTTATTGGAGAGCAACGCACCCTCCAGTTGTGCAAGCCGTACCTAGAGCCGTACCAGCGCCTGATGCACCAGTGGACGCACTGTCGCCTCGGGTCACATCAGGTACATTATTTCACATTATTACCTAGAAACGAAATTTCTTTCTTTATCTTACGATTCAAAAAGCTCATCTCTATATTTTATTAGGAGCGTCCATCAATTTTTCCATTTTTAAGATTTAGGAGAATTAACTCCAAAGGACATTTTTATTAGGTCGTGGCTATTAATTCGACTATAGTCGACAGCAGACGGCTGTTCTTAAGTTCTCTTAATATTGTCAGCCGGAACTTAAACACTTTCTTCTTATTAGCTCCAACAGTTTAGTTCGATATTTAGGTCAATTTGTACGCATACACATTATTTTTTAATTCAATTCAACTAATGAAAATTTTACATTTGTTGTATATGCCAATCCAGCAGATTATCTAATGTTTTCGGAGCACCCTCACCGAATTATTTGAAACTTGGTAATATTCCATTTACGCGTATAAAGTTTCAGAAAATCAACTTTTTGAGCCCAAACAGATGTTTACTTATAAGATACGACAATTGCTCTAAATTGTTTAAATGCTCATATTTTTCAAATAATTAAACAGGTTAATTGTATCTTATAAACAAACCATTGTTTTGGCTCAAAAAGTTGATTTTTTGAAATTTTATCTTTATCTGCTGGACTGGCACATATTAAGTTAATATTTCACTAATATTTGAAAAAATTTGCTTAAAGAATTTTAGTTAAACTATCACTATAAAACTCGTAGATTCAGTGAAAAACCATGCCACAAGTTCTGAACGTTCAGATGAACAAAATTTTTTTTCGCTATAAATATTTATAAAAACTACTGACCGTTATAAAAAGTAAAAACAAAATTAAGCATTTAGAATCTTTATAATCTATTTAAATTTAATATAAAAAAATAGATTTCGTTCATTTGAACGTTCAGAACTTTATTCAGATAATATTGTACATTTTGCTTGGTTATTGCTTTAGATAATCATGCTATTTCCTATAATTTTTATAAAACTTAACTTTTCGCATAATGTAAAACATACTACGCTATTTTGGCGATATTTCTTTGCAAAAATAACAACATTGATGTTTCATTTTATAAACTTGATCAAAAATCGTCTGGAACAGTATGGTTTTCCACTAACATTTTACTTCATTTTAATGTAACAAACATAGTTTTAATACTACTTTGAATTATTAGGTACTACTTTTTTCACATTAATATGTAACATATTGGATTTTTAAGATTAAATTAACACTAGAATCTTTTTTAACATCTTAGGTGGATATCATGAGGGTTATATCAAAAGAGGTAACCCAATCTTTTCATGAATCATATCTAAAAATATACCTATTATATCTACTTGAAATCTTTTACAATAAAAATGCACGTAAATGCATGTAATTGTTGCATGCCTTAAGTTTAGGTATTCGATAAAAATTACTTTGTTTGAAAGCTTGCTACAAAAACGAGAGCTCGTATTTAAACCGAAATACATGCAACCAAAATATTATATGTATGATTATTGTTTTTACACTGAGAAAAAATGCTATAACAACTGAGTCAACAACATTTCTCCAAATAGATGTCAAAGGATCTAATTCAAAATCAATGATAAATATACACTTTTACAAATTCTAGGATTAAATATTCTATAATTTTTTCCGTCAAATTTTCTTTGCTCAAAAAAATTGCACAAAGTGTGAAGTTAATTGTAAACTTTTTTTTTATTAATATTTGTAATGAAACTTTGACATTAAGGCGAGAATGACGGTCATGCACATCAAGTTTTATTTTCTAGCTCATATTGTGTTTCTTTTCAGCAACTATGTACGGATCAACACACTTGTATCCACAGCAATGACAGTTAGTTTACATTTTTTCTCTTATTTTAATGATTACTTTATGTTTATATATGCACTCTGCTCATTTACGCAAAACATACATGCATATATTTAGGCAAATAGTTGCTTTGGTTCTAGTGCGAAAATCTAAAAAATATTTTAACTGTACTTTCACTGATTTAAATTAGTTGCGGTGTTCAGTTGCCAACTGAATATATGTACCACTAATTTCCAATCAGTAAAAATGCATTAGTGAATCAATGAAATATTCTTTTATTCAAATTGAGAGAAGAAGTAAATTCCTCGAGATAAAGATTTTTAATTTAATTTACTTTCAAACACCTCTTATTTCATTAATGATTATTTATACTCCGAAGCTTAATGCGCATGTTGAGAGCTATACATTCATTTCGATAATATTATTAATGTTTTTCGGCGTAGATTATACATAAAGAAAAATAAAATAACTAATATAACTAAACAAATCATTCACACCGCATATAAATTTTATGTTATTCAGAAAAGAAATTGTTGTTAATTTTTGGTTTAAAAAATTGTATATTTTGATAAGTCCTCATTGTCCTCATTTAATGCACTCAAAAAAAAGGTCTGGTTAAAGTTACTAGATGCATATGGTTATAAAATTTCTAGCTAAACTACAAGAAATTTGTAGTTTAGAGAAAATAGCCAGAAGACCGCTATCAAAACTTTCTTCCATGAAAAATTTTTTTTTTTGAATTTTCATGTGAGCATCTTTTGAATTATGTAATTTCAAAATCAGGGTTGCTACAAAACCTGGAAAACCTGGAAAAGTCAGGGATTTTTTAAAAAAAAGTCTGGAATACCTGGAAATGTCATGGAAATTTGAAATGCCTGGAATTTTATTCCACTTAATATTTTTTACTACATTTTTCTTTTAAAAAATGATGTCCTGGAATTCCTGGAAATGTCCTGAAATATCCTTGAATTTTTCATATTTTGCTTTTAAATATTCAATAATTTAAAAATTTTACTCAAATTTAAAAAAATATTTTTTTTAATCCTTTAAAAAATAATTTTAATTTGTCGTTTGATTAAAGAATCTGATATCTATATATAATATTGATTTTTAACTCTTTTTATAATAAAATAAATATTTTTGTTCAAGTAGGTTAATTTAAATTATGTTAATCGTAATATGAAATAATATTACACATGTAAATGTCCTGGAAAAATAAAAAATCTGTCCTGGAATGTCCTGGAATTTTAAGTCATATTTTCAGTAGACATACCCTGTCTGTGCTTTAATAATAATCAAATAGAGATAATCTAACGTGAATATTTTTATAATACAGAAAAATTCTAATTTATTATTATTAGGCCAATGTTTCTTCAAAAATTGCTCTAATTTATAATGTTCAAAAGGTGACCTGGAAATTTATCAGATTTGGTACTGGGAAACCTGGAAAAGTCATGGAAATTTAAAAACAGACTTCTGGTAGCAACCCTGAAAGTCATTGTTCATATTTCTCTCGATGCCGCCGAGAACGAGCTTTAGATTTTAGTCAGGTGCATTTAATACATCCGATTTGGTATATTTATTATCACGCACTTTTGGTGGTTCGATTGGCGTAAAATCAATTCTACCCTTCGTATTTATCAGTTCGAAAATTATGAAAACTGCAATGCCGTTCATCATAATAGTTCCGGAAAATTTTGATTTCTTTTCATTTATTTGTTATTTTGAAATATTAAATAATCATATTAAGAAAGAAATGTATTAAATTGATTTATTAGTTAATGGTTCTCTTTGCCCCGATGCGAAAATTCGACCATTTTAAATTATTCGTAGTCTTCTATTAGAGCTTATACCAAATGATGTTTAAGGGCACATATGTTATCTCGTGCAAAAATGTTCTCACTGCCACGACTTTGGACAATTAGAATTGACCAAATTGTGAATGAAATTCACTGTCCGATTTACGATTCTAATGAAACAATAGCAGTTGGTTCTCCATTGGGGTCACATTGAAAAATTTCTGCATGGAGTCCCTTATAATAAAAGAAAGCTCTGATATGGTCTTCTTCTGTTCGATTTAAAAGACTTGGAGGCGGTGGCTGCCACGGGAATCATCCGAAAAGAAGGCAAAGTCACCTTAAATCGGGAATCCAAGTCCAAACGAAGAGAATCAAGTTAAGCTATATGGTGAAGAGCTATATCCTTTAAGAGAGGTGAACTCTCTCCTAAAGAAAGAGGTTTTCTTTTACTCATCAGTTTCTGGTGAGACCATGTCACCCAATTTGGTCCCGGTCATAAGATTAGCTGAGAAATTAAAGACGATCCCTTGGTTAACTCGCGTTGTAAGTACGATTTGATGCATGGATCAAATGAGACCAAGTTTTCAAAGTTTAAGCATATAGATTACCCTATAGAATAACTTCTAGTCATAGAACGTGTTTTCATTCCTTAATTAAAACTTTTTAATTTGTTCACTTTTTATTTAATGGTTAAACCTCGAAGGCATCGGACTTAAGGGTGTTGAAGTAAGAAAGATCTTTAGCAATGCACTTGCGTACCTTATTTAAAACAAATTTTTATCACAACATTCAAAGAATTAGCTGAAATCTTAAATACTTTGATTTGCGTTCAAGAAATGAAAGATTTATTAATATCAACTACTTTGCTTCCTTATAGCGATGTATAAATTTTTAATTTCTTGGGCAATAATGAAAGCACAAACAGTCTAGACTTCGGTTGTTTTTTTCAATGTTGCAGTAGAAATTCGTTTGAAATATAGTATAAATTCTGGCTGCCATTTCTAAAAAGGCTTTTTTGCTCCAAAATTTAACTGACATTTTTAACTTTCTTAATATAATTTTTGTGGTGGTGAGAATTAATTAATATTTCTTACACTATAGTATTATTTTTTAAGTTTATATTTTCAGTATTCTGTGAAAGAGTCCGAAGTCTAAATAGTAAATATTAACTTATTACTTTCATTCACGAGTAATGAAAATTATTTTCCAATCATGCATCACTTCAAAATCATACCTTCCCAAAATTTATACTTAGTAAAGATAATCTTAGAAATCTAGTGAGTTTTATTAAAATGTTGTTATTATTTTAATGATATTTCAAATTAATATATTTAAAGTAAATGCGAATATTTCAGACAAGTTTTCGCTGAGGCTGATTCGTTTAATTTGAATCAGTTAAATGTAAATTATTATCTATAAAATCTTAACTGACATTTTGATTCTGCAATTAGTGAAAAAATTACACATTTTATAATTAAACAACTAAAAAACTATCAGCAATAAATTTTTGAAGTAAAGTTATTGATTCTTTGTTTTTGAATCGCAGTTAGTTTTAAGTGATTCAAATTTATTAGAGCGAAAAACCGGGATAAGTGATAATATATATTTCGATATAGTAATTAAGAAAAAATTATTGCAATTTTCAGTCTTCTAAATTCAGTCGTTTAGTGAAGATTTTTTATATATATTGGTGAGCCAAATTGCTGATTATATCAACAATAATAATTATAGAGGTACCAATTTTTCATTATTTTACATAAATTGATTGTCCCCTACTCTTAATTAATAATTCGACTATTTATATAAAAGTATGAGTAAATTAAATTCAGAATCGTAATCTTTTAACACTTTGTTGAATATGAAGTTGATTAGTTTGCATTATAAAAGAGAAAATTAGCTGAATCCTACTATTTAGCATTTTAGCAATGTAGTCTTGTCAAATTGCTGTTTTAGTGTGGTCGAGTTGATTTTCTTTTTTTTCATGCAAGCTTATTCATTAAAAAACGTGTCAATAGATGATGAAGGTGAATTTAATTATTAAAATTAATTAATAAATTATCACTTTAATATTATTGAAACGGTTTGATAAAAATAATAATCAATTATTATAATAATAAATATCAATTACTGTTATCATAATGAAATGTTATATGTAGGGGAGACTGGGGTAAACCCGCTCACTAGCGATTTTACGCTATGAACTCAACTTAAGATGGAGATATTGGTACTGTGAATAGTACTTAACATTCAACTTATATTAACGAACTTTCGTTTAGTTTCATGAATTCAACATAGAATCAGAGGCTATCAAATGTTTTTAGAGGTGTCAGAAAAAAAAACGTATTTTGGATTCTTAAGTTTTTCGATCATTATTTTTGAGTCTTAATTTATCTGGCAAATTTTTTTTGTTACTATTGGATGTCCTTCTTCGAAGTACATAATTATATAGTTTTGTCTTATTTTAAAAAGATTTAATTAAATTTATTCTGAAATGTGAGGAATACACTCGGGGTAAAGCCGCTCACTTAGTTTTAAATTTAAAATTTAGAATAAAATAATTTCACGTATTATATTTCAACAATAACACAATTTATGACTTATTAAAACCAAAATTGTAACTACATTTCACTTTCTCTTCACAGTTTTTCTAAGGATATCAAATTGAGACAAAAAACGTATCAATAATGTTGCGATGCAACGTTTTGATTCGTTTTTTGTCTCAATTTGATACCCTTAGAAAAACTGTGTTAATAAAATATAACACTATTTAAATCCATAGTTGTAATTCATGAAATCTATGTTCATTATTTATTAAACCAATTTGTTGTTTATAGAATTGTTTATATAACTCATAAATTATCAATAATAAATCATACTTAAGACTGGAATAAGACGAACTTTAATATTTAAAAAATAAAACTGTTCCGTCTTGAAAAGATAAAGTGAGCGGGTTTACCCTGGAAAATTGTGATTTCGAAATTTGGTATATGTTTATTAAAAAGTTTCTCTAAGTAAAACTAAAAAAGATAAATCAAAAACTCTTTTTTATTTTTTTAGTAGAAATCATAAGCTTTCAAATGATGTAAATTAACTTGGATTTAGAGAATAATTTCCTAGATTTTAGCCGATCTGAAAAAAAGTGAGCGGGTTTACCCCAGTCTCCCCTACATTCTAAAGTACAATAGTTTATTAGAATATAAGCGCGTTAAGTTAATGAGTAAAATTTTTGAAATTAAGAATGGTGTTTTTAAAAATGTTGTATATATCTTACATTTATTCTATTAAATTGAAGGAGTTGAAGGGAGAAAGCAAAATGCTAACAATCGTTAAATCATTTGAATTTACTTGTTGTATGTTGTTTTTAGCACGAATGCCTATAATTTTGTGACTTGTTCTGCTTTTTCTTATACACGTTTTAACATATTCTTTAAATGCGCATGTTGATGCAGTGTCTTAAAAAATGTTTTTTTTATGATAAAAGAGATAGAACTCAGTATTGTATATTAGGTACTATAATATATTAAATAATAATTTACTTGTTTTTACACCTAAAACGTACTTAATTACTTAGCTGCCTTCTATCCGCTTCTATCTTTAAAAATAAAATGACTTCAAAGTGTATTTAATGCAGAAAATATGTGTAATAAAGTCTTTTCAAATAAAAAATATTACTGAGAGCTAATTCTGCTAGTTCAAAATTTCAGCAATGAAAATAAACAATTGAATGTTCGCATTTAATTACAATTGATTAAATAAATCAAATTCAATTTTACTTGGTTGCAGAATCATTAAAATAGGAATTAAAATAGGAACATGAAAATAATTGAATATTATTACATACTTTCTGCTTTAAGATAATGAAATAGAAGTGAATTAGTTTTTATTTTGAATGATACTTTATCTACAAAGCTTTGTGCTTTATGCCATGTAGGTTCCACTCGTCGATCACGCCTCGAAAGATTGGATCGCGAAACCGAGGAGGAATATAGCGTAGAGTACAACAATCGGCGACGTCAACAGGATTGAGATCAACCAAGGCCCCGGGGCCTTATACTAGAACTAAGAACAACCGCCCTTTAGTTCTAGAATGATTTTAATTATATTTTTGTACTCGTCTTCGTAAAAGAAGGCAGTACTTTTATGAAAAACATAAAAACATAATCATTGTTGATAATTGTTTATATTTGTTATCAATTATTCATAGTAAAACAAGAAGAGTAAATTAGACTCTTTGCGATAAAATAATTTATTCTTTATCAGAGTATTTTAAAATTATTCTTAATAAGGAGAAAGAGAGAGATTATATTTCCCGTAATCTTTTTTTAACTATTTAAAAAGGAGTCAATTTTATTCATCCTATTTTACTATTTATATATTATAACACTGTTAAAAAATTCCTATTTTAAAATTTCTAATACATGTATTGAAATAATTTACGATACATGGTTAGTGATAGCTTAGTAAAATTGCCTTACCTTCATTATTATATAATTTTCAATTTCATTTACAATATGAAAAAATATGAATTTCATATTCGTTTACGTTACTAGTTTTGTAAAACTGCAATATTAGTTATTACACGGATAGTAACAGAGTTCTCTCCGTCTTACCTATAAGGTAAAAATGTTTCAAAATTTATTTATTATTTAAAGTAGAACAAAAATTGTTATTCTAGGAACCACTTTCACCAGCTTTACTCTATCTTAATCTCAATCAGTATAATTCATCATTGTTTCAATATTTACAAATTTTCACAAAAAAAAATCTGTTTTTTATAATATTTTAAGAATTACTAGTTAAATCAGTAAGCCAAAAAGGAAAATTATTTCTGAAATAAATTAATAACTGGAGTGTGACCGGTTTTATTATATTCGGCATTCACCTCAGATCCAATCAACATTAATGTTTTTTTAATACATATTAACTTGCCATTTAATGGTAAGGGCCAACACACTCTCTAAATCTGAATTGGTGAAAAGTCGTCCACTAATTTAAATAAATTACCAATAATTTACCAATTCTTCGTAATTTTTCACTATAACTTGAGTAACAAATTTAAAAATATTTAATGAAATAGTCAAATTTACTAAGAATAAAATGCTTTCTTCACTCCTAGCATATTGAATTCCTATATTGCGGTCTTGTTGGCAGGACCATATCATTAAAGAAAAATCAATTCTTATAGCACAATATTTTTCAGTAAGTTTGCAACAAATTTTATATAAAATGCACAAACATATTCCTCCTTTGCAAATTACCTGATTTTATTTACAATTACATTTATTTATAACTTACAACCTTCGTAGAATAAACCCTAAACCGCACATAAGGAAACAGCATAAAAACTTAATAACTGATTTTATTTAATTCCAAAATTTAAATTAAATTATTGTTTTTCATATTGTCTGGTAATTTTATATTTTTTACTTAACAAACACTAAATTTGGATCTACAATTAAAAATCAGCACAAACTTTATATTCGATATATTTTTCACTATATACTGCGACCATATGAGTTTAAAGCAGTGTTTTCCATTATTGTATCTACTTTTATTACTATTTATTTAGTTTGATATTATTGGTTAAATGAGTTTATTCGTTATTAAAACGTTATGAGCAAAAAATGAGGCTCTCTCTCACAACTAGGTCGAATAGTGAACTTTTTTCTCCTCCTTCATTTATATCATCGTGATTCTAATAAGCATATTATATTGCTCTGATGGATTAATATTAATGACAAGTGAATAAAATTCCACTACTTTATTAAATGCTGACTTAAATCATCATATCATATCGATCATTCAAATTTAGAGAGTAAGTTAACTATTTATTAACTTATAATATTGCCTCTGAAGTATCGGAAATATTACTGATTATTCCTAAACTAAAATTGAGCTGAGTGTGAAATTTGTTTAGATTAATATTTTTTTTTAAGAAATAGGCATCAAGTATAGTTGGTGAAATTGGCCCTGAAAGTTTGAAAATTATTGCTATTCGTTTCAAGTTACAATTAATTATTGTTTCAACTAAAAATCTCGCGTCAGCATTAGGAATTTTCTCAACATTATCTGGAGATATCTATGCGAAATTGGTCAACTTGAAAATATTAATAAAAAAAAATAAATTTAGAAAATATCTGCATAATATTAAAATGTTTGCTTGGGAAAAAAATATTCAGAAAATATTGAGTCAATATTGTTATATATTCCACTAATATTACCTCGAAAATGCCCAATATTTGATTTTAAATTAAATATTTCCTCAAGTTTTAATATTAAATAAATATTTTCTGAACTTTGCGGATGTATATTTCAAAGATCGCAGATCACTTTTAAAAAACGGTATTAGGTGAAGGAAATTGTATGAGAGCGTACACAATAATTACTTATCCACATAATGCAATTTTTTGCATCAATCTTGTGTGAGTATTGAGTGCAAGGCCTTTCAGATATATTCGAAAATTTAGTGCAATATTCATAAACATATACGTTTGAAACTTGCATCACAATATACTTATGCAATATTCATGTAAAAATTTGTGCTAAGTAGATAAAATGTATAAATTTATGTATATGTATATAATGGAAGGAATTAGTGAAATTTCTCTGACTCCTATAGCGATAAATAATACCATTTGATTCCAAAAAGTGTACATATGCTATAATTAATAAAAGAGTTTTAACATAATAAATGAGTGCAATTTTACAGATTCTTGAGAGTATAAACACACTTATTAGAATTAGTGGTAACTTATTCTTACTTATCGCTGATTCAGATTCAGAGAGTGTATCAGAAATGTAAGTTTGATATTCAGAGAAAATCAATGATCTTGTTTGATTGTTCTCTCTTTATCAGCATACATTCTTTTTACACAACTAATGGAGTCTTTTACTGAATGTATATGTGTGTCATTCTAAATTTCAAACCAGTCAAAATGTCACTGATTTAAATTTAGAATGGATTTTTTAAATTAATTCTTTTATTTTAAATTAGAAGCTGGATTAAAGAATTAACTCTTCGCTCTCTCAGAAAAGTTATGAATTGAGCCAGAATACCTTATTAGTTCTTCGATCATCCTTTCATAAGCATATATATTGTTGTGATTTCTAAAGCAGCGATAATTGCAAAAAGTAAAATTACTTTTAATTGGATACAAGTTTCACGTAATTTTTAAAATTATTGTTAACCATAAGATTTTTCAAGACGTTGTTTAAACAAACAATAGAACGTTTCGCAATGCAAGCAATTAAAAATTTAAATCTCGTTTCTTGCAATTAAAGAAACAATTAAGAAAAAGGTTTATGCAGTCTTTTCACTTTCTCGCAATATTTTGTTTAGAAGTTAACGCTCTTTAATGAAATCACGACAGTGTAGTAAATCAAGCGACCATTTGATAATTTTCGACAATTACGAAATAGTTGTCAAATAATCTTAAAAAAGTGGAAGCAACAAAATATCATGCAGTCCCTGGGGTCTTTACAATAGACTACTTGTACAGGAGTGCAATTGTATGAATGTGTGGGCGTGTCTGTGTGCATCTTCCTGATTCGCCAAATAAAATATCATCGAGTTGTTTTATATAAATATCGTGTAGATGAAATCAAATGATAAATAATTAAGGCTAATAAATTAACTTATCTGAAATATAATACATAATTCAATTTTTTTCGTTAATTCAACGGATTATAAATATTGCAAGTAAAGCAGATGGAAGGAAGTGCACAAAAAAAGTGTTTATAGTACAAGGACTTTTATTTAAAGATTGTGCGGTTTTCCAGCATCAACCAATGACATTTCATTATATTTCAAATTATAATTGGTAAGTTTTCATTAATAAAACAAAAATGAATTGATGATTCCCATTGGTATTATTTGTTCCTAAAATAAATTGATAATTTATCAAATCAATTGGTCTGAATTTAATAATCTTCCTATCTGTAGAAAATTAGATTATTTTATTTAATTTGGACAATGGAATACGAAATTATTATTATTAAACGATATCGTTTTTGTCTTTTCGTTCAAAAGACGTTCGTTTCAAACAATTGAACAATGTATTAATATTAAATTCGGTAAAATAGTTTTCACTATACTTTTTATTAAAAAATGTATAATAGTTTCACTAAAAAATATAATAATTTATTTATTACTAATAAAAAATTGTAGTTTTTGAAGAGGCCAACAGAGATGCCGAAACATATAGGAAATATTCTTTAAATTATGATATTGTTATTACTTGTCAAATAAGAATCTCATTATTAAATGAAGAAAAATTGAATTTTGCTTTATTATAAAATACACTTTCATTCTTCAAAGTCAGCAAAATAAAATGAAGTAAACTTGTAACAAAATTTTTAAAAGTGTAAGAAGATACGTTGACCAATAGCATACTACATATTGTTATGTATAATTACAAGATACTTATACAAATATTTAAGTTGTACTTGATTGCTTTGCAATAATGACTATTTTACAGATGTATTTTAAATGAGAAAGCAATTTTGCCGATACATTAATAGCAATAAGTGATTTATTAAAAGAAACAGCATCATTCAAATTATAGTAGTTTTAAAAATGTTACAATTTTTTAAATTGATTTCATTTTACATTTATAATAAACACGCACGCATACACAGACACAAACAACACATACATATAAACATACAATTTCTCCTACCTTTGGTAAAATTTTTATATTGCTAACATATTTCCTTCAAGTAAACACGAATAACATGCCGAAAGTTTTCTGTTATTAATGTTCACGTTTGTCGTTAAGTTTGAAATTCTCCTACCCATGGAAAACGAAAAGTTTACTGACGTTACATTCAAAATGTACTTCAATATTGAACACGAGGCCATGTGCTATAAATATTTATCATCTCGATATTTTTTTGAAGAACGCAAAGTATAACATAATGCCATATTAGATATGGCAACCATTGGTATATGATTATTTGGCATTAATTTTAGTTTCTGTGCCTCATTAATTTTCGAATACATCAGTGCGTCCTCTCGAAAATGTCCATCTGACAGATGGAGAGAAAAACCTAGCTCCTAGCTTTTATAGCTCTTACAAGAAAAGTATAAAGCCACATCTTTTAAGCATTTAGTCTATTAAATTAGCATGGGGGTGCTTAAAACAGTCTCATGAAGAAATATCCTAATAAAGTAGTTGGACTTTTCTCTCCGTGCAGTTTGTATACTTGTTCCAAATGTGCTTGATTTTGTGATTTGACAGAATTGGAATACTAATCACAAAATTAGAAAAATACCAGTTATCATTACGGAAAAACAATAGAAAGTTGGAATGCTTTTATTTAACATCCAGAATTGGAAGAAAGTTATTTCAGTTGTATCACAAACATTTGGTATAAAATTTCAGTTTTATTCATTAATTTGTATTAAAATGATAATTTATTATGCTAAGAAATACGTATTTTTTGGTTTACTGCTGCAACAAAATTTTAACACAACACTTTTGAAAGAAAAAGTCTATAAACTGGCAGTCGTTTAAAACGGATCTCCCTTGAGAAGACATTGCAATTAAATTCAGGCAAATAGGGTATAAGGTCAGTATAAATAAGAGATCTTTCCAAGATTTCCGAAAATTGTTTTTTCTGACTCTTACCCTACTTCTTAATGTCATTTGAAATTTGTATATTTTGAAACAAGTACAAAGTTCAAATGAAGAGATAATTTTCATATTCCGCATAAGGCACGTGTTTTGATGACAAAGGTGTCGATGGCATACTTTTTGGTAATTGTTGCACATGAAGATGCATTAAACTTGATGTATGATGATTTTGACCAGATTTAAAGCTGTTGTTGTAGTTGTAGTGATTAAGCAGATGGCGATTACTGTCGTTTCTATAATTGCTCGTATGATTGCATAAATGTACATCGTGGATATGTAATCTTGACATCATGGAATCCGAAGCCCACATACTCTATAAAAAAAATTAGAGTTAGAGTGATAACAAAAATAAATAACTATCAATGAATTCGAATTTAGTGCAGTGACAAAACAAACCTTTCTCCTGTGAGGGTCATAGTCTGGATTTCGTCGAATTCGTAAATGCCGATCAGCGCAGGTCCACCTTTGAGTGACCCGAAGTGGAGAATCGTCAGGATGTAATTTTCTTTGGTATTCTTCTCCTTCGCTTACTTCGTACAACGAAAATTGCTCAACTCTTTCCGTTGAATTGTAGCAGTTAAGGAGCATTTGTATAAGCTCATCAACTGTTGTTTGCTCAGAGATCAACAGACTTTTGTATTTTGACTGGAACACATTTACACATTTACATGAATATATATATATATATAGCAATTTCATTTTTATCCTTTTTTATTTTACAGTTATTCTTTTATCACTATCTAATCAAGTGGTCTGAAAAATATTTATATAAAAAGTTTAATGACCACCAACTCCTCCCCATTGTTTGTCATTTACTTATAATTTTATTGCTATTAATACGTATTGTATAATATTATGTACTCACTCCAGACATTAAAGCACTGTCATATATTTTCACAAGACCACCTCTTCGCGTTTGTAACGAAAATCTGAAATAATTGTAATTCAATATAAAAAATGTAAAAAAAAAAAAAAAAACAGGTTCATTTTCTGCTTTTAAATTTTATTATTATTTATTAATTATTAATATTGAAAGCAAATTTTTCATTCTGGAATAAATGAATGTTTATAATTATCTACCTTGAATCTCCGCGCGGGTGACAGGACTGCAAAAAGGCTGGTCTGGCATTCTCATCGAGAGATAAGGCAGTACGTACGTTGGCTTTTCTGACTGTAACTTCCATCGTCAGGCAAAATAATCGTGGATCTCTATGCCGCATTCGATACTTGTTTAAAAGACTTTGGACGACCTCTCGACATGTCGTTTCGTATGTAATACTTAGCGTCTTGTATTCAATGTCAGAGCGAAGACACTTTGCATAGACCTTTATGGTAGTCTGGAAATAAGAAAACGACTTATAGATTGTGTTTAATAGCATTTTCAGGAAAAAATTAAGTTTGATGAGTCAAATACTTTATTATGCTGTACAAGCCTAAATTTTAGATTATATGGAAAAGTTTGTTTAACATATTTTTCATTTAAATAAGCTGAATAGCTACAGCAAAAAGAAAATCTTATTTCAAGGCATTTGTAAAATAATTTTACAAAATTTAATATTTATTCTCTCTTCCAGTATAAGAGGATATATATAATATAGTACCAAACTGGAAATCAACTCTTGAAATCATATATTAATTTTCTTATGTCTACACAGTGAAAAGTATACGTATGTATAAAATCAATGCCAAGATACGATTCGTTGACTCGTCACAAAACGATTTTTAAACATATATCACAAATCTTATCTCCTTGCTGATTGTGGCAGAATAGAATTGAAAGTTGATAACTCATACTTTTTACAGACTATATATGTATACATATGCTCTATATGTGACGCTTTCCGACGAAAGGGACGTTACGCGGTAGAAGATTATAAGTTATATTTAGGATTGTTTTTTCTTGATTAAAAATTCAATTTTATTTACCTTTAGTCAAAATAATTAAAAATGAATCTTTAATGAAATAAAAGGATATCCTCAAGATATTTCAGAACGTCCCTGGGACATCCGTAGAATATCTTGAGGATATCCAGATGCTGTTAGGGAGATTTTAATGAAATAATCATTTTTGTGATTGATAAGACATGGGTCTTATTGTTTCGATAAAAACTTATTCGAAAATATTTGTTTACAAACTTAAATCTCTTCTCATTTGATGAAACTTGACAGCACCTTGTCAGCAAGGTAGGAAATATTGTAAGTGGCGAAACTGATACAAGCTTGTGTAATTGTCATATGAGGAAATATTTATCACGAAACTTGAGCGAAAATTACAAATCACATGTGGACATTCAAACAATTATGCAAACTTATATCAGCCCCGCCACTAAATATACATCTACAACCTCACTGAGCGAGGTGAACGCTCTTAAGTAGAGGAAAATGAAGCGAAACGATCAGTGAAATTTTACTGAAATTTTACTGATTCTCAGTCATTGAAATGATTGAAATCGTGTAAATAGAGTCACTGATTCTTTGTCAAATTTCACTGACTCAGATTTAGAAGGCAAAGAAACTAATTCAATTATTGATTCTGAGAAATTTTCCTCGAGTTTTCTCAAGTATAAAAAATAAGGGTAATTGAAGGAAACAAAATTTCTTAAACAATCTATACCACGTTTTCTGACAAAATGCAAAGTATTCTGTTTGAATATCATGCAATTATGCAAATGAAGCAAAAACAATCGGCAGAGGAGCTAATAAAGAAGCGTATTCTTCTACGTAAGTGAAAATTTATAATTTTAGCAAAATTAAGGTTTCTCTAAATTTTTATCATATGCCCTGAGAGAAATTTTTAATGCAAATAGTATGATATTTGCATATTCTCAAAAATGAATTCACTTTGTTTATTTTGCTGCTAGATATGGTTTAAAACGAACCGAGGACGTTCATTTTTAGCGTATACCGCACAATTAGATCCCAGGTTTTTTGGTGTGAAAGTCCTCATTAAAAGTAGATCGTGTGTCAGTTGCAAAACAAAGGGTTTTAATATATTCTTTATTTGTCTAGAGTTTCTATTGAGCGTGCGAATTATTTTCTATTAGAAAAAACAATTTGGTATCTGAAGAAACATCCCAGGCTTTCATAATGTATTGTTTGCCTACGCGGAGAGAAAAATTATTCTTTCATAACTTATTGTGACTTATGAGTGACTCCAATAGACGTAGCACTCAAGGCAACGTAACTTTGGGTTACAAAAAGATCCACTTGGAACCACCAGTTATATTTTTCTCTTGTTTTTTCAAATAACGATGAAAGAAAAATTGGCGTTTTAATATAACAGAAAAGGGAGTTGACGTTTTTAGTCACACATATCAACTACGTTTTATTGCTCAAATATCTCCTTTACTCCATTCAAGCCGCTTCAGTTAATGCCGAATTTCATATAAAAGCCGATTCATAATATGATTTGATTCAAGCCGGATGAATGTAGAGCGATCATCAGTGCCGTAGTAATAAAATATTTTACGTATTTACTTGTGCCCGTAAAATAAAATAAATTTCATCCGAAATTTTTGAAAAAAATCCGCAGTGTTAGATTCAGCAGTTTGCTTACATTATTACCTCACAATGAGTTTATTAGCTTATTTTTAATTTTACATAAAAAGTAAATATCATTTAAACAAATTTTTAAAGAATTGTATTTTTTAAGAATTTGTAAGTTGATTTTCTAAAAGTTTATATCAATAGATATAATATTTCCAAAAGTTTCAAGTCAATTGGTGAGGATGTTTTGAAATAATCTCATGGACTGAGAATATACTGTTGTAAAAATGAAATAAATTGTAAACTTTAAATTGTTGTAATTTGTAATTAACAATATAACTAGAAAACTAAGAAACATTTCTCTGAGTGACTGCTGCGCCATTGTACGTTATGAACCACCAGATTGTCAAATTCATATGCTTGTCAATTGATCTCCTTCTTCCTGTCGACAGCGCGTGCCTCTTTAGAGAAAATAACAGCTGCAAGAAAATTCTTTTCCTCTGCAACTCGATATTTTTTATCATGTAGAACAAGCGAGTGACAAATATACTTAAATCTTAAAATTTGAATACAAAAAGACATGTGTATAAAACAATTTTTGTTGAATAAGTTAGTGAATATTATTTTACACCCGACACCCCCAAAAAAAGTATAATCTTTATTTTTACATAACAAGATTCTCCTCTTGCATGAACTAAGATATATATTTAATTAGAGCAGCTAAATTATTTCTTTGAATGTTTTTGTTAGTATAACAAAAATATTTAGTTGCCACAACCAAAATGAAACCAAACTGAACCTATCTGTTTAAAATTTTGCTAATTCCAATTTAGAATTTCTAATTGAATTTTAAAAATTTCTACTGACGCATGACGTTTTGTAATCAAAAAGTTAAACAAGAAGTTAAAAGGCACACGACTGCTGTCCAGTTGAAGTCGTGTATATAGAAGTTAATTGGACCTTCCTCTGCAATGCTGATGATTGTTTTAAATAAGTTCCTCTGCACAAATATAGCACAACCGCAGTAGAAGCAGGTCTGAAGTTGAATATGTATACTTTTTTGATATGGTTTTTGAGAATGTGGTTGGGATATCCATACATTGAGAAATATGTAAAGGGTGTCAATTTCATATGGCCACCATATATCCATTTCTTTACTTTATTTTGTATTAAATTTAAAAGCTTAAAATAATGTCAAAGAGTTTACGATTTACGTTTTAAGATTCAATGAGCTTAGCCTCATAGTTGCTGACGTCGTGAGTCGTCATTAGAAAATGTGATTATTAAGCGGTCGGCAAACTACTGGACAATTTGAAGAAATTCTCAAAATTTCAAGTTTCTCAAAGTATCTACAATCAGTATGACAATGAAAACCAAACTTAACAGCAGATTTAAAACAAGTAATTTACATTACTCTATTTCCTTTAGTCTTTAAGGTAACTTATTATGCGAAATATGTTCGTACAAAATAGCAAATCTACAATAATCAAATCTAATACATGTATTCTATCCTTTTATTTGGCAAAAACAAACATAATGTTTTGAATTCATTATTATTATAGACTTTTAGATCAGAATAAAATACCTTATTGACACTAAGTCAAGTGAAGTCAAGAGACTAGGTCAAATGAAAGCGACGTCATTGTTTAATTATTGTACATTGTAAAAAAATGCTTTTTTAAATTGCAATTTTGTTAAAGAAAAACAATTTACACTTGTTCAAATATGGATTTAGTTCAAGATATTAAGAAACTGATTTTATAGTGGAAAAACTCAAAATTTCAAACTGAGATTTTGCTAATTCAAGTCGCAATAAGAAAACTGGTGTCAATACCAAAATATTTGATTAGGCCTACTATACACTTTTTTGTTCAATTATTGGTATATTAATATTTCGCAAAAATTAAAGGATAAATGCTGGCAATTAATAATAAGTTAATGATAAACATATAGACATAATATTTAAGTTTTGCGAAGTTTATAAAAATTATTTTTGCAGGAATTTACAGTGATAAGAGAAATTAAAATAGCAGCGACGCTGCAAATGATATGTTGATTTAAAAAAACAACAAAAAGTATAATCTCTTTAGAAAGTATATACTATTTTTTCCTATAACATAAGAAAATACCCATGAATAAAAAAACTTACTTTAGATAAGAATCTGCGCTACTATTTTCATATACACCAAGGATTAAAAATTTCAAACCCACTTTTCATTAACTTTCGCTTCCATAATTACGAAATCAAGAACCCACATCAACGTGGTGTTCAGACATGCGAATGACTTCATCGTTTAATGTACATGTATATTATACATATATACATGTATAATACACACTTGATAGTCATTCATTTCATGTAATTATTATTTGCAGCAATTGCAATTGTTCAAAAGTATATTTCAAAATTTGAAGATTATTTAGATGTAGGTATATTATAATAAAATATAGATGTTGCTAAATTTTATAATTTAAAAAATAATATTAACCATCAAATGTTATTTACGAAAAACATTTATTAAAAAGTTAAATTTACTTATAGTTTTCCACTCTTTAGACAAACAGTTTGGTTTTTCTTCAGCAGACCAATTGGTTGAAAAAAAGAGTTATTATATATGTACAGCGTTAAAAACTGCTACAAAATGGAAAACTAAATTCAAAAAAGGGACTGTTAAAGTAATTTTAATATTTTTAAATATTTATAATTTTAATAAAAATAGTTTTCAAAGTTAGAATTAAATAAATTTTATTCTTTCATTTTCCTAATTAATTTAGTATAAGTAAAAAATATTTATAACATAACTTTTTCACTTTCGCAAGAAAAATTCACTAATTATGTTTTTCTTTAACCTCATATAATTTAAAGGCTAGAAATAAAAATTTTAGTATTTTCAATAACATTATATTGCACTGGTGGTTGAATTGACATTTTATTGAATGCAACTTGAGTTAACATTATATTGCATGAAATTTTTAAAAACAATTATACAGCACGAATTTCTGAGTTAACATTTTATTGCACGGAGATTTGAATAAACATTTTATAGTCGGGGGGCGTCGTTATTTTGAACCCCCTTCAAGTGGTAATACCACTCTAGAAGCAGAAAAAGACCTATTTTTGATGATTTATTTTGGGAAAAAGAAAAAAGGAATAGAATTTATTTTTAGAGGGCTTATTAAATACGTAATGAAGAGTGGAACATTTTTTTTTTTGTAATTTTACAACAAAATTGCAGTAATATTTAAAATTCCCTATTTTTTTGAGGACCAAAACATCAGGAGAACAGTTTTTCCGAAAAGATTAACACCTATGCGGAACAAAAAACCAGAAAATTTCTTATTCTATATATATATACTATAAACTTTGGAAGTACTTATGCGTTTTTTATTTGAATGATGTAAAATATTTGCTTAAAATAATTTACTATTTATTTTTTTTACGAAAAATGGATTAAATTAATCAAAAAAGCACCATTTCTACGAAAATCGATATAAAACAAACTTATGAAATCTTGATTTCATAATAATGAAATTTTTTGTTCCAAGTTTTAAGCTTTTTGAAAAACGACCCTCCCGTTTCGGTCTGTTAAAAAGGTTAAAAATAATGAAAGGAAATGAGAAAAATACTTTTTGAAAGACTTATTTCAACAAAAGCAATTTTAATAATTATTTATATTTTTATGAATAGGATAATAGTTTAGGTATTGTAACAATATTATTTTACTTTTTCTACTAGTTTATAAATTCATAGGTATAAATACTGGTGTCGTACTCTCTAAATTTAAATTAGTAGAATTTTTACTAATTCAATGCCATATAAAGACTAAACTATGTTAATGGAAAAGAACATATTGAAATCAATAATCTGAGTTTAACTCTGCGTGTCCAATTTTCTAAAGAATTAGGGTTTCAGCAATAAATAAATTAAAAAAGTTCTGATATTTAAAAATGAGGCAAATTGTCCTTTTTCAAATATTAATCGTATAGGAAAAATGCATTTCTCACGGTCACAATGTGACTTTTGTATAGTGCGGTTTCACGTCCTTTTTTCGCAACCAGAAACTCGATCTCTTTGAGAAGAATTCGTCGGATGTTTGTGTATTTCTGCTTCTGTCCCCTTGTAAAACATGTGTGCATGGTATGTTAATTTCTTATATCTATTTTTATATTTTATAATGTATCTCATTTAATAAATATTAACTGTAATAAAAATGAGACTCATAAAAATATAGTTAATCATAACTATTTACTCTATGAATTATAATCAGTGAAGAATCGTTGACTAATTCAGATTATAAAAATTTTCATACTATAATTTAAATTAGTGGACGACTTTACACTAATTCAAAGAGAGACTATACATAAAAAGTTCACCTTTTACATATAAAAAAGTGATACAAATCCAAAACCCTCCCATCCGTGATGAGACTGTAATAATATGAATTTATATGTATTTGTTTCTAATTATCATCAAAATTTTTAATTTTCTAAATAAAACATTTTAAAAGTTTACTCTATTTAAACGAGACAAGAGAGAGAAAATAACCTACAGTTTTTGTTCAAGGGATAAGAGGAATGTGTGGGAACTTGATCTTCTGAGTCGTCGCACATTGAGGCCATCCAAGAAAGACAACTGGAATTTCATCATGAAGTTTCAAATATTATATAATAATAATAATAATAAATAGAGAGCTTATTATAAGCTGATTGCAATATATATTATATGCGTATATAATATTATAAAGAATTTTACTCGTAGATAAAATATATCTGTGACAAAGTTCGACACTGAATTTTATTTTTCGTTCCGCTGCTGATCACAGGACCTGTCTCGTTCTATTCCTATCTCTCTCTGTCCCTCTTTCCCTTATTCGTAACATCCGGCGCGACGGCCCATAGTTCCGGTTTTCTTGTCTTGTGATAGTTTATTTTATCCAACAACATTCATGTCTATTCAATAAAGTTTAACTATTATCAAAAAAGAATTTGAACAATTTTTACAATAACTGTCATATAAACAAATGTATTTTAGATATACCAAGACTTATAAATTCAAGGTGACGTGACTATACAGAGATTTATGTGTTTGCGACCATATTTACATAGCGTACTTAAATTAGTACTTAACCAAGCAGCACCGGAACTTTAGCCCCACGCAGTGGGAACAATGAGAGTGACAGAGATGTTTGAGTTTTTCTTTCTTACCCTCATTGTCCGTGCACGATTCGCTTATTTTTACTTAATTTCCTTGAGTATAGATACCAATTAAGTATGATAAGGAAAAGGATTGAAAAATATATCTAATTCGTTGGAGTCTGGAGTGCGATCCAATAAATTGGTTAAAACACCCAAGCAAAAGGTACCATACCTATTGCATAGACAATGCAACTATCCAAGAAATAGTTGCCCCTTCTAATTAATTGAATCACGCTCAAGAGTCCAACGAGTTAGATAGATTATTATCTGACTATTTTTATCCGTGTAGTATAAAATAGACTTAAAAATACTTATAAATTCTTGGTTTAAAATTAAACAAATCCTGCTTATTTAAAACAACATGAAGAAACGGAGAAGACAAAATTTCGAAAACATCAATAATTCTCGAATTGAGAAATTTGGCATAAGATAAAAAATCTTATAAATATAACTCCTTTATTCTATCTATAATTTTGTACATAGTGAATGTGAAATGCTTTCGCTAGCTATTTGTGCTTAAACATTATTAAAGAAAGAAAAATCAAAACTTGTAAATGAAATTAACTTGGTTAATTGAACCAAACATTGTTTATTAAAAAAAACTTGTTTGAGTGATGTGTTGCAGAATTTATTGGAACTCTTAAACACTCACATTGAAAATGAGCCAAATATGGATTTGCTTTTTATTAATGCTGTTTTTTCTTTCAATTTTTCATCTTTTGGCAAATTTCTCCTTGAACAACATCTGGTTTAAAGATGAAAGAGCTCAGAGAACAATGACGCTTGTAACTCTTAGCATTCTTCCTGTATACCATTATGGAGTTTCTTTATGGGGTTTGAATAATGATACCTTATGAACACTATACACAGAACGGGTAGGTGGAGTCTAAAGGACCTCGTGTGGTCGAATCGTAACCAATTTCAGTATATACATCAGGCAACAAAGAAAAATAAATTAATCAATAAAAATATTGACTTTTTATAAAAATTTGAATAATATTTCGCCCGCTTGAGTTAAAGTCGCTATAAATCTGCTGTAATGTCAAATTCAGTTTATCATAATTTTAATTATTAAAATTAAAGTTGACCCATTTTGACCAAGTAACTCAGCTTTAAATACACATTTCTATAGAAAAAATGCCTTGCAGATTCAGTTCACAGACAAGCTAATTTTAAGATGCGTGACAAAAATTCATGAAACTTTGTTGTGTGAATGTGTGTAAATTTTCCCCTTTGGATCCCTACTCCACCTCTATATAACAAAGAGAGGTTTATATAAATTTATCTCTTTTAGAAGAAAAAAAGCTACCAACCAATAATTTAATTGCTTCATTATTGGTTAATTTTAATTTTTATACTTTCAAGACATAAAGACATTCTTATTCCTATAACCGACTTTATTTTAAGTAAAACATAATTTTCTTTTTTAATGAAAAGAAGCTCTGTTTCATATTGGAGTTCTTTGACTTATTGCATTATATAATAATCATCATCGCGATAATATTCTCAGAAATCCGCAAACTGGTTGATTCATGCACCTGTTGACTGTTCAGTGTATGCATATCAAAGTCTTTCCGATTTTTACAAGGATCTTCAGTGGAAAAACCGCCACTTCAATGATACATCCTTAAAGTATGACACAAACAACTCTCAAGTTTTTATTTTTAGAAGCAACTAAGTTCTTTACCAAACAGTTACAGTTGTGAATTTTATATAGGTATATGTATATGATTTTGTTAATAGAAATAATGTTTGTTTCATTTCAGTTTTAACAAAACTAGTGTTCAGTAATTTGTTACGATGAATAAATTATATATTCAAAAGATATTCATTTTATTTAAAACTGACCTGTTGTGGTGCAGAGTCGACTGGGGAAAAGCTCGACAGCGCTGTGAGGGGCACAAGGGATGCACATGATGATGCTCTTGAAGGGGGTGGAGTTAGTCCAGGGGTTGGGCTTCCGCTTCCGCAACTACTTGAACTCCCGCTAGACGCAAGGCTAACACTGTCTGCTCGTCCTCGCCAAGGTGAAACTGATACGTGTTTCAGCATTCTCTCTTAGTGGCGCCTGTAATCATTTTTTCATTTTACTAATTGTTAATCACTTTTATGGACTTCTTTTCCCGATTTTAATTAGTGAAACATCACTATATAGCTTAATTTCGGATTCACTAAATGAATTAGTGAAACAATTTTATCGACTTTTAATAAAGCAGATCTATTCATCACGTGTTATTTTAATAACATCGAATTTTGTCATTTTGTGTTAAAATAACACGCAGCAAATTCTATACTCGTAGGTGGAGCCATGCTCTGTCGATTAACGTTGACTAATTTCACACAAATTACACAAAGTTTTTTCTGTTTCTTAGTAAAACACTACTAACAAATTAACCTCTTTAGGCTGCGTCTACAACAGAAAAAATAATGTGTAGAAAATTGTGTAATGTATAGTGTAATTGACCCTGACAGTTGGCAGTGCTAAAAACAATACACATTACACTACAAATTACACATTTTTCTACACATTATTTTTTTCTATTGTAGACGCAGCCTTAAATTTATTTTTTGGAAACCTGTTTTATGTATGCAAACAAAATTTTAGTATAATTAATTATAAAAAGGTGTAGGATGTATTTCTTGCGTTTCATTTCGAGTATTTTGCAATCATACTTAAATAATAATTTAATACTCTGCTGTCATCACAGGCCCAAGTTTTAGGTTAATTTACATAAAATCTATTTAACTTAAGAATAAATATTTATTTCATTCAAATAATTGTTTGGTTTAATTTTTTCATTTGAAAAAAAGAATATTTGGTTTTTAAACTAAACAAATATTATAGCAATATTGCAGAAAAGTTATAATATATTGATAGGATTTTGCTTATTGTGATTAAAGTTTTTAAGAAAGCGATAATGATTTTTTTCTGAACGCTTTATAACGTCAACTGGTGCATAGGTATTAGTATTATACTCAATGTAAATAAAACGAAACAGGCGCTGCATACCTTACAAAGAACCCAGATGAATGCTTCACTTCTATGATTATTACTTATATTAGCACAAGAATCATATTTTTATTCCGAAGAAACAACATAATATCAGATTTTATAACTTTAATGTACTGCTGTTTAGAAGATGAACCAACACTGTTATTAAAAATCACTAATCACCACATCCGATCGATTCTTCTTAAAGGTCCATTTTTCCACTCATGGAATCCATATATTCACAAAACTACTTTGCCTCGTATCCGTAACATGTGTAAAGTAAAAAACTTATAATCAAAATTCATTTTTTTGCATTATTAAAAACAATACTTTTGTGCGTGTAAACAATTTCATTGCTTTTAATTTCTCGTACAATGAATTTGTAAAATTCTTCCTATCAGAAAACTGGATTTTTTTTTATTATAGACACAAATCACTTATGCGAATTCATTTGTCAAAAAAAAACTTGACAAAATACACAAAACATTCACAAACCTCAACTGCACACCAAAGCCGACTATCGACTGCTCTCTGGAGCGATCACAAGTTCAACTTGGAGCTTGGAATATAATACACTATACTGTACAATCACTATACCAAACTATAGCGAGGAGCAGAAAAGGAAATAGCCAAGGCAAATATTTTTTTAAAATATCTTCCCCATTTTCTTTATATCTGCTGTAATTTTGGTTTAAATTTTATAGCTCTGTAAAATAAAAAGTTAAGGAAAACATTTAAACCCAGTAGATTATAATCATATATATTGTACTTCATAAAAATGTAAATAAAATGCAGATAACAAAAACATTGTTTTTCTGAAAATTGTTAATAAAATATGTACAGCTATTTTCATTCATAATTATTTTTTATTATATTTTAAAATTCTTAACTAATTTAAAAGAAAATAACAAAACGTGCTTTAACAAAAGAATATGGATTCAGTATATATACATATACAGTATGATTTTATCAGAAGAAAAGTTTACTTTTCAAAAGAGAAGTATTACAAATAATTAAATTAAAATTACAATAAATACTAATTTGTTAATTTTGTTTTCTAACAACACGATCTGCACACCATTCAAAGTTCCCTATACTGCTATACTTGAATTAGGTAGCAGCTGCGCAAGGGACTTGCGCACTAAAACAAATCGAGTTATAGAATTGAAAGAGTCAATTTGAGTCAATTGCTAACTTGAAGGCGGCATGAGTGAAATTTTACTTATTATAATAAGTACACGTGCATAAACTTATTGATAAAAAAATAACTCGGTGAGATTTCATCTTGAAATAATAAAAAAATTTCGATTTGAGTTATTTTATAATGACAGTAAACTCTGGAAATATAAAATTTGGCGGACTAATAATAGGTACTACATCAAGCTGAGATCTGGCTGAGATGAGATCCACTGAGGCCGGATAACTTCCTTAAGAAACAAGAAAGGTCTAAAGGTTCAGATCATTTCATTCTTGGGCGAGCGGATGTCACTTCTTAACACAGATAAGAAAACGAAATAAATAAGAGCAGGAAAAGAACAATTACAAATTTTTATAAAAAGATTAATTTTTTCAATATACTATCTAATTTTGTTTGCTTTTTATATTTAAATATATTCAAATAGAAATTTAGTTGAATTAATTTTTTTTAAAATGATGATTTTATTTCCTTTTGAAAAAAGTAGTAGGTATTATTAATGGAAAGTTTTGATTGATTTTTCATACTGCAGGAAAATTAGTCGGAAAAGTATCTTTAAAATATTTCAGTATTTTTGAGTAGTGTAGAATGTAACAAAAATTTATTTAAATTCCTCAATTTGATTGTACAATATATTATATACAGTTCGCATGCACCTCTCAATATGCCAACAAGGTTTCCGCGATTTTCAAAGGAGTGAGCAATCGCCCTGTAAGGAGAAACTGATTGAAATATATTAAAGTGATTACACATAAAGTTTCAAAAATGACATTGATTTGCAATTTAAGAAATATGGTGTATTTTTGTCATATTTGAAGTTATTTTATACACTCTCGAAATTTGAATCAGTGAAATTTCACTGGTAAAATAGTTGGAATTTAGCGACTGCCGCACTTTAGTAAAATTTTTACTGAAATTGAGTTGTATGTCACTGGAAACAGTGAAATTATACTAATTCAAACATAAGAATCTGTTTTACCGATTATAGATAACACAGATTTGACTGTGAAAATTTTACTAAAGTGCGGCAGTCGCTAAATTCCATATATTTTATCTGTGAAATTTCACTGATTTAAATTTAGATAGGCCTTTTTTGTTTTATTATGCACTTTATCTCATCATAATCATAATGAGTCGGGTACACTTGAATCCAACGATGCCTTCTCTCCGGGAAGGCACTAATTTGACGAAGTTTGCCTACCTTCTATTGGCAATGAAAATTACCACCGCGGGCTCGGTGTCGCTAGTGTTTTACACCAAAAATGGACGAAATGGGTGTACAAATTTAAAAAAATATAAACTTAAATTGTGACTTTTCGGTTTTAATTTTAAGTAGTTTTTCAATAAAAAGATAAATAATGAACAACAATCTTAACAAATATTTCTTAAACATTAGAATACTTTAAATATTAACATTTTTTTCAACCTTGTACACCCACAGCAGCCATTTTTTTTAGTTCACTTTATGGTCACTATGTGTCGCATTGCAATTTTAAATCCCCAATATTGTCTAAAAAATAAGCCAATAGAAAAGCAGAATTCCGTTGAAATTATGGACATTAACTATAAGGAATATAGAAAGTGGTCAAAACTCGTCAAATTAGTGCCTTCCTGAAGAGAAGGCATCGTTGGATTCAAGTGTACGTAAGGGTGGAGTCCCATGATGGCGTTTTGCGTTGCGTCGTAATGGGAGAGAAAAAGACGCAAATATACGTTTGCTGCATTCTCTCTTATTACAACGCAACGCAAAACGCTGCCATGGGACTGCGGCGTAAGACGAATAAGAATATGGGATATGTAAAGGCCAACGCACAACTGCAAACGCAAAGTATGAGTTAGAAAAGGACAGACGTACCGCTCAAGATATATTTGTCTATTGTGGACTCAGAGATACGGAATCGGAAACATGAAAGAAAAGGACAGACAGCTTCTGTCATTTTCCATTGCATGTCGAATGTCGATAGACGGCATGTCCTCTTCCACAGTGTATTTGTATTAATGTATTCATCACCCGTGGTATTCATTCTGCCGATTCTGCCTATAGACGTGACCGACGTGACCATTAAACTTAACCTAAAATATTTATCAAAATGTTTTAATTCTATTATTATTCATGAAATTGTTTATAAGAATATCTTGAAAGGTGTTTAAATATGAAAGTTCACAAATATAGTTTCAGTTACAGAATACTTAACTTAAATTTATAAGAATTTAAAGTCTTAATAAAAGTTTAAAATAATTCAGTAAGTGTTTTTAATCTACTTTTAACTGAAAACTTATTTAAAATTTATACTGCTCTCATTTAATGTAAGTTGATATAATTTTATAATTAATAGGAAATTTTTGAAAAATGGATTTAATTGTCTATCATCAGAGGATGAAACTCTATAGTTTATTTATTAGGACGGTTTCAAATTACTTGCCAAGTACATGTTTTCAATCAACTAATTCAGTAACACAATTTAATAGAAGACTACAAAGTGGTCCTTTTAGAGGTACGTTTAAATATCTTTTTTCAAGTCAAGTACCTGATGATAATAATAGTGGACATTATAAATAAAAGCCTGTATGTGTAATACAATGATGTAAATTAAAAAGAAATTTTTTTAGAATATTCTACAAATTTTGAGAAGTCAATCTGCCAAAGAATTTTACCAACTTATATTTGTACAAATCGAAAATTTGTTGACAATGAGTATCATAAATTTCAATCTAGAGTTTGTAAATACACCACTGATAGTTCTAGAAAAGAAAATGATTCTTGTCAAGTTGAACAAACTCGTTTTCAAAAGATGAAACAAATGGCGAAAGATTATTGGTATATTTTAATTCCCGTGCACGTGGCTACGTCGATTATATGGTTTTCAGTATTTTATATAGCTGCAAAAAAGTATGTACGACACAAATATTTAATTTTATTATTCTAGTGCAAGTTTAGCCTTACTGCAAACTTGCAAAAAGGAGGATATTTTTATATAATAATCACAGAATTCAATACTAATATATTAATGAAATTTTCAGTGGCGTTAATGTTGAAGAAGTTCTGAGATATTTACATTTAAGTGAAACATACCTGGAAAAAATTCGAAATTCTAGTGCCGGTCACTTGGCAGTGGCATATGCTTTGTATAAAGTGTGTACACCTTTCAGATATACTGTCACTCTTGGTGAGTTTAAAAATTTTGTAAATTTTTCAAATTTTTAGAGCTTTGAGGCACCGGATCAGAAAACTTGTTTAAGGCACGGAAGCTTTTGATTTATAATAAATTTAAAATATTTTACTTAATTGAATTTTTAATTTTATAATTTGATTAAATAAATCCATTTGTAGTAAAAACATTTAATGAAAATACTTTTTCTATATAATAACCGAACATTAGCCAAATATTCTGAATATCCTACGGTTGTTCTTCAGATGACTTGTGGCTAAAAGAAATTAAAATGTCTATCAGGATCGACTAAACTTTTTTTAATTCTCTTCTTTCATTTTTTGTTAAAATTTCTAAATTTATTTCCTTTTTAATTATAGGAGGAACAACAATGACCATCAGATATCTTAATAAATGGGGAATAATGAAATTTAAAACTCCGGAGAAAATGAAAGTAAGTGAAAAAAATGAAAGTAATTTTTATGTGTATCCCTTTATTAAAAGGTATTGGTTCAAGGATTTCAGTACCAATACCAACAGACAGCGATTATCATAGTAACGTGCAAGAATTAGAGATGAAAACATTTTTCTTATTCTAATTGACAATTTATTCTTATACATAACCATATGTGTGACATCTTTTTCCGTGCACACTGACATGCACTCGCTCACATATTTTTCAGGAAGTTTGCAAACCTTTTTTTACAAATTCAAACCTTCTGTTAAAAGATATAAATAAATTTTGCAGTAAGAATTTCTCAACATTCTAATGGAATTTTAATGCAAACTTGTTGAAAAGTATGTGCTATGTGAATTATTTTGGTGAAAGCTATTTTTTATTTATAAAAAATGTGTAACGACATTAACTATAAATTTGAAATAATCCTTTGATTTTTGCTTGTTACAAAATATTGAACTTGAAATGGTTTTTTTAATGCTTACTTCATATTCTCATGTTTTTTCTAGGATATGCTGTCGAGTAAAACAGTTGTGCAAACTAAAGTTGAGCTTGGTAAAATAAAAGAGAAAACGAAAACTGTGACTGGTTCTTCCAAAACGTAGCATTAAATTGCTTATTTCGATTTTTATAATAATTAAAAGTATGTGAGTTATATATAAGTTAATAATTTACGCTAATGTTTATTGTAACATTATCAGCAGCGGACTTGTTGACTTTATTATTAAATAGAACTATAAATTGTAACTAAAATCACAAAAAATACAATATTTTTATTTATTTTACTTTGTGTGAGCCCGGGAAATATTTTCTACATTTTGGAGCACCCTCACCAATTTAATGAAACTTGGTAATATTGCATTGATGATGCATTGGTGCTTCGAAGTGAGGGAAATACCTCCTGGGCTCACACGTTTATGAAATGTAAAGAGTCTGTTATTTCATTAATCTTGCTTCTGCAATCAAGAGAATCTTGGGGAGATGATAATTCTTTGTACATAAACTCAATGTTAATATTTAAAAGAAATCTTTGAAATATGTGCAACTATAGCACATCGAACATCTATGTATTTTCGAAGTAAAATATTAATTTCTATATCGTGCAAGTGCGAATGTATTTATGAGTACAGTGCAGTCACTAATTCTTTATAACAAATAAAAGAATTTAATTCTTGTTAGACCTCAAAACAGTATTTAATATTTTTATAGATATACATTTAAAATAATAAAAAATCAATGAGAAGCTTACATCTATCACTAAACAATCACTTTGAAGATGAAATTAATCTTGAGTTTTTCAATCATCTTTGTTTTTTCTATGCACTGATGCTTGTCGATGCAAAAGGAACAAACATGTAAATATTTTACATTTTTTTAATTCTGTTATTTTAAAATTAAATAAAGTAAAATAAACTAAATCCGTAACTATGACTTAATTCATGACACGCAAAAAGTTTACACTTTATTTACTTTTTTTGTAATTGTAGGTTTGAGTTATACCTCCTTACTTTAAAAATAAAAAATTGAAATATAATTGTAAAAATTCTAAAAATAAATATTTTTAAAAAACTTAAATTTTGAATTATTCTATCTCGTGTATGTCCTTAATCTCATTTACTGCTTATAAAATATGTTGTATTGTAGGCAGATTTAATAATATAAGGAATGTAAAGTTTTAATCCTATTAAAGGAACATTTTCAGTCTTTGAAGCATTAAGTAAAAAATTATTAGCTTCGAAAAAAAAGTTTCTAAAAATTTAATTAAATATTCTAATTTACGTATAAATACTTAATATTAAAAGCAATTTAGTTTCGTTCTTCTTTTCTTCACAAATATTAGTTAGAGAACCTGAGAGCATTATTTTCGGTAGGTTATTTATTGCGAAGTTTACAAGAATTAATTATTTTTGTGATATTCAACCCATAAACTGATAACTGGCTGACACAGGTTGAGGAGCTCTCGGTTGAGTATGTGAAATTCGTTGAATGTGGCAAGCTCTGCACATTAATCTTCCTTCTAAAGGATAACATCTTTTATCAGGTTCGTCTGTCAATTGCATTCCGCAGTCTTCACACACGTAACAATCTACATGAAAATCTTTATCCATTGACACAACTCGAACTGTTTCTTCCGTTCCCTAGAAAACATGAAATAAAAATTATTATGTTATACTTAAATCTAGGTCATTTGGCCTTGGGAATAATTTTTACTAGGTAAAACGTGTGACTCATTGGGTTTGCTTGAAAGTCGTTATTTACCTCAACGGGTGTAATTCCTTTGCCACATGAAGCGCATTTTGGAGCAAACATGCGGTGATAATCATTTACGCAATATATTTTGTTATCTACGTCCACGGTGAAGGGAACGCCATCAAGACACTCATTGCAGACACAGCATCTAAAGCATCCTGGATGATACGATTTTCCCATGGCTTGTAAAATCTAAAAATTGATTAATTATTTTAATGTCTTAAAGAAAGCTTTAGAGAAAAAGATAACAATTGTAATTTAAAAAAGTCTACATTTACCATTTCCATTATCAAGTGACCACAAATTGCACACTTTTCAGCAGTTTGTTGAAATCCAGAATACTAAAAATAAAAAATTGATGCTCTAGCAAAAGCAATTATTTTTAAAAGATTGTATAAAACATTGTGACACACTTTGGACAAATACGTACAAGATAGTCTTCTTCGCAGTACACACGGCCATGAACATTGTAAAATGCTTTTCCGCGTAATGCTCTTCCACACGAACAACAAATAAAGCAGTTTGTATGATATAGATTTCCCATTGCTTGACATGCTTGTCCTGCTCCGGTAACTTTTTCTCCACAAGTATGGCATATTCCTAAATTAATCATTCAAGTAATGTTTTATTGTCAAACAAACTAACAGAAATCAATTGTCTAATTTTATATTCCTTACATCATTTTAAGTACCAAAATTAAAATATGTTTTCCAAAGGTGCGAGTCTAGAATATTTTCTAAATTCGGAGCATATTTCACAATTAATAATTCTATTATAAAGTTTAAGTAAATTAACAAGCAAAAAAGGAATATAAAAATAAACCATTTTTATAAAATAAGATTTAATTTACCAAAATATTCTCCTTCTTCTTCCTGTTTTTCCATTTCTTCTTCAAGTTGACGAGTCAATTCTTCGATCTTCCTTTCTGCTTCAGTAGGTCCCTGTAAAGAAAAAGAAAAATCATATGTAAAAAATCGTCTTACCCACCAAAAATTTAAACTTCATTTTTATACACAATAAAAAATAATTATGGGAAATGTGTGAAGCTAATCATGCTAAAATTAGCAACGTGTGATAATTGGCTATACAATGAAAAACTTGTTCACTAAGTCCAAATATTATAATATAGATTATAGATATAAAAGTGAATAAATTACCGACGGTCTCGGAGGAGTGACATTGTACGGCAAAAGTCCTTTTCCAGATAGTGATTTAATTGGAGGACTAATGTTGTCTGAGTACTCTACATCCAGTTCTGTTGATCTTTGAATTACTGGCACTCCTGCATTAAGAAACACTGGACCAGCAACTCCACTTGTAACACCAGGTGGAAGGCTCGTAATTCTCGGTCTGTGGATTTCAAAGTCATTTCCTGAAGCAGTCGCTGCACTTGTAACGGGAGCATGTACTTGACCTCGAAGCGGTTTTTCCATCGCAGCACCAGCTGAAGATGCAACTAAAATTGGATGCGTGGGACTAGTTTTAGGAGAACTTGCTGCAACGCCATTATTCTGAGTATTTTGTTTCGTGTCACCGCGAGTTGTTAAAAAGGAAGAATTCTGCGATAACGATGACGATGACGATGACTCAGGGTTATCTAATACAAAATTCTTATCATTCTGAGGTCCGAGACGACTTTCACCTGATCGATTTAAGGAATAATACAAAGATGAACTTTTAGAAGGAAATTCTTCAGGATTCTCCTGTAACATGAAAAGAAAGTTAAGATTAAATGTAGGCAATACGCATTTTTAACGAATAACTAAAGTTTGTATCCTTACCTGTGGACGATATTGTCTCTCAATTTGGGATATCGAACTTCGAACTGGTGAGCGACATTGTGCATTTTTATAAGCAATAGGTTCACCAGGACGAGTAGTTGTTCCGTAGCATGGAGCATTTTTCGATTGAGAATCACCATGATAGTTGGTTCTGGCAAACTGATCAGAATACTTGAAAGACTGTAAATTTTCTTGACGAAATTGGATTTGTGGACTATTGCCATCAATAGATGTTTGCCCATGTAAATGATTTGTATTGCTGTCGATGGAGGATACTCGCTGATACTGTTGTGACTCCATTTGCATTCTTGTGGGAGATTCACTGTGATAAGGTAAATTAGATCTAGGGGAGTGTTGCTGTTGTTGCTGTTGCTGCTGTTGCTGTTGATCAAGAGGGTAGTTGAAATTCTTGTTCGTTTGAAGTTCCGAGGGGGGGACATAGGCATTTCTTCCAGATTGATTGTCCACAAAGGCAGACAATGAGTTAGAAGAGGCAGGCAAGTACTTTCTACAAGAGGAACTTTCAGAAGACATTCCTGAGCATTGAATGTTAGAACCATCGAAACTTTGCCCGCGAGCTCTTTGGAATTGGGTATAAGAAGAGCCTGAACTTTGATTTGAATTTTTCTGCCCTTGAATCTTCCCAGTCATGACAACATAGTCACTTCCATTTATGTTGGTAGGGTAATAACTGGAAGTGACTTGATGACACGGCCGACTTGAATTACTCTCACCAAAGTGGACTTCCTGAATATTTTCATAGACAGGAGGAGCTTCGTATGGTGGAAGGTCCTTGGCAGGAGACGTCGATTGATAGCGATTCCCCACTGGCATCTGAGGTTGATCCTTTCTAAAAGCAATGTCATAAGAATCACTCGCTATGGAATCCCTAGGACTATTTCGCGGATTTTTCTTCGATTCAACTGAATGATAGTACGGTGGATAATTTTGCGACTGCTGAGGGTAAAAATCAATGTTTTCGTAAACTGGAGCTTGCTGATTATTTGAGCGACTTTGCATATGCTGTTGAGTGGTTATTTGGTCTATGGATTTCGGTGTGGTAAATCTGGAAGCTGCTATAATATCACGTTCATACATTTTGTAATCAGCAACTGGAACTGTAGATCGGCAAACGTCAGATGTTGCTTCCAGAAAACTCTCGACTGCTCCAAGCGATCTACTGGAGGATCTGGGAATAACTTGAATCTCAGATCGAGGGCCCAGAATGCTTTCATTTGCAATTTCATCGCTTAATTGTAGGTAACCTAACTTTTCAATGTAAGAAGTATCTTCGGAGTTACACATCGGTATATCTACACCAAAAAAACAGTATAAAAGATTAATATTTGAGTACAATTATATAGGAGTGTCAAACATTGATTAATATAGTAAACAAAGAGATATATTTCACATTATTCTCAATTTATTGTAGAAAGTCATTCAAAATCTATTTACATAATTAGCAATGAAAAAGTTACTTGAAAATATCAAAGATTACTTAATGTAGACTTATTTACCTTTCAGATGTCCATTCGTAAAAATCAAATAAATACATGCAGAATTCAATTTGCCGACAAGGTATTCCTTTGAATTCAAGTACACATCAAATTTCTTCTTTTATTTCCACAAGTAATGAAAATTATATGATAGATAGATTAAGGAATTTTTAAATTAATTTACTTATTTATCTATAAATTTTACATTAAAAAAGTTTTCACGAGATTGAGACTTGGATAATTTTCTGTTTTTTTCGACTGAATTGCAAAGATATACAATATATGAGATATAGTAATGTTACGTACATAGTATTTCTAAATGCTATGTTCTACATTTTAAAGTTGAGTTCACACAGATTAATATTTCTTAAGCTACATACATATATGCATTGGTATGTATGTACAGTAGGTTTCAATTATGCCTTCTTAGTTTGAACGTGTCGCACTCATATGTTTCCATGGGAACATATGAGTGCGACACGTTTATACTAGGCAGGCATTTTTCAAACCTACCATTTTTCAAACCTACTGTACAGTAGTGTTCAATGAAGCATTCCTCGGATGATCGTGTTGCACTCATGGGAGTATATGAGTGCAACATGATCATCCGAGTAAGACTTCATTGAACACTACTGTACACTCGTCCTCAGATGTTCCCATGGAAACATATGAGTGCGACACGTTCGGACGGAGAAGGCATTTCTGAGCACGAGTGTACAGACTGCATTACTCATCAAGGAAAACCAGGAAAACAATGCAAAGCTATGCATAGGTATTGCATTACTCAAGATATATTTATCAATTGTAGAATCAATCATAGGAAAACAATGTTCGGTAAAATTTTTACAATTTTTACAGAAGGTGTAAACGCTCCATAAGTCCTGCATAAAGGTGCTTCTATGCCTCCGGTGGATTGGCCAAGCAATCGTCTTAGATGAATTTTCACGGTCGGGTCATTTAATTTGATTGGTTGAAGAGTAAATTCTATTTTTACTGTTCCTGAAAATTAGAAACAGTGAAAATGGAATCTTTAGTACAGCCAATCAAATTACGTTATCCGACCGTGAAAATTCATCAAGCCGATTGCTTGACCAATCCACCGGAGGTATAGAAGCACCTTAACTATCCATTGCTCAAGATAAATTTGTCTATTGTGGACTCAACCTAAGGGTGCGGTCCCATGCAAGCAGAAAGTGTAAGAGTACGTTCACACGACTTTTGGAAAAACCATTCTTGTTTTTCTCTCTTCTATGACAGAGGCATAAGTTTGTCTCACTCTGTATTTTCTGTTTTTGGAAAAGTAAGAAAATGTAGAGTGAGACAAACTTATGTCTCTGCCAAAGGAGAGAGAAAGACAAGACGGTTGTTTTTCCAAAAGTCGTGAATGAAACCAGAATTCTATGAGTGCAAAAGAGATAGTTGAACAGCAGGATCCTTTCTACTCTCATAAAATTCACGTTCTCGTATTTGTATGCACCTTACACCTTTAAAGGCGCTCGCACAGCTCTACTGCTTGCCTGCCTGCAGGTCGTCATGGTAACACATAAGAGTAAGAGAGTCAGAAAATTAAAATTAAATGTTTTTTCTCCCTTACTCTCATTGCGCCTGTAGAGCAGAGGTGAGAGAGTACCTTAAGGTGCTTATATACCTCGGTACTTTGTTTTGATGAATTTCATAGTCGTATCACTAAATTTAATTGACTATGACAAATATTCCTCTTTATAGTTAGTAAAAATTGAATATTTATCTTGTCTTTCTTGCACTCATGATTTTTTTCTTCGAGAAACTGATGTGCTTAAAGTCGCCTTTAAAGTTGAAGCTACAATAGAAATGGACATCGATATACACATCATGCAGAGTTGTGACAGCTCCATAATTATAGCTTCACGTCTATACTATTGTAGATTCAACTTAAGTAATTTTAAGAGAAAAGAGTAAATTGTGAGCCAACTTTGAATTAACATACCATGTATGTAATTATTTTTTCATCATTTTCTTTAAATTTAAAAAAGCATTCTTTTAATTTTGGTTTCTATAGAAAAAAAAACATTTTTAAATGGAACGAAAATTAATAGTTGAGAAAGAAATTTATTTGTAATTTATTTTCTTAATAGGTATATTAAAAAAATAGAAACTAAAATTTTTAAAAGTTTGACTTTCGAAAATTTCTATTTTAAAGGAAGTGTTTAAAAAATTAAATTTTACCCCCTAAATTGATAAGTTCTAATGCAAAGTTGTTGTCCTCCAGTTTACATCCATTTTGAATTTTCCCCACCCAACTCGAACTACCACCCAATTACAAAAGATGAATTGAAAAAGGTCAAAACACCTCTGCCAGTTTATACTCAAAAAATCAAATAATTACGATTGTAAATCGTTATAAATTAAGGTATGTTTCATGTAAATATATATTCAATCGAATAAATGTTGTTTATGAATGTTTAAATAGATATGAATTTTTTTTGTATGGATGGATTTGTCAAACGTTCGCATCCCTCTCTTGAGCGTAAAAAAAGTTGCATCTCTTCTTGCTAGCCGTTTGAAGATTACTATAATTTTAAGATGAGTTTATTTTTGATAAGAAATTTTTAAAAGTTTTGAACTTAATGAAATAATAAAGTTAGAAAATAGTTGTTAAAAAAGAATATGAGAGTGGGGAATTATATTTATAGTGATAGAATGGGAAGGTGGTAAAAAAGAACAATATAAGGGTGGGTGTCAGTCGTAAGTCGATAAACCACGCGAAACGCAAACAACTATGCGCGCAACTGCAATATGGTAAAGGGTAAGTCTTAATATTATTTTTAGTCCAAATTGTCAAGTGTAGAAAAAGTTAAAAACTGAAAATTTACACAGAAAGTCTTCAGTTTTATTAGTATATTCAATTCATGATAAAAATATTCACTGGATATTTATAATTTTTCATTTCTCTTATGTACTTATTAAAACCCATAGAAGAAGTAAAAGAGTTACAATTTGTTAAATGAATATCCAAAACAAAGAGGAAATTTTTGAAAGTGAATTCTTTTACAGAAGGAAAAGCGCAATGCGGTTCAAAGATGCCGACATCTCAGTACCATCGTATTTTGTTCTAAATAACAAGTAAATAATTTATATAACCTCCTACTATACTATATACATATATATATATATACTTTCATCAATACCATTTTTAAATCTAATATATATATTTAAAGTTGCTTATAATTACTATAATTCCCCTGAACATGAATAAAGCAATCTGTTTAGTAGAAGATGAATCCTTTAAATGTATAATCAGATTTTACATTGTTAACTTACAAATAAGCATGGTAAACGGTTTACAGCAAGAATATGTCCCGTATAAATGTTGTGGATTTGTATAGGTATACTGAGCCGCAACATTTATCTTGTTGTTATTGAATGGTCACGTGTTCCCATAGTAAAGTATATGGGGCACGTGACCATTGAGTGACATGACCTTAGAGGGAATATTCCTGCATTGGACTAATCGATGTAACCAGGCTCTGTGTGTATATAGGAATATATGTATATATTTTAAGTATAATACCCTCGCAACACGCAATATATTCCGGCTTTCAATGGAATATTGTCAAGTTTTCTTTGGAAACGGAAACTATTCCCCCAAACATAAAATGTTCGCTTCAAAAGAAACTTGCATATCAGTAATTCAAATGAAACTTCTATCCACCGCAATATCAAATAATAGTAAATAACTTAAAAATTCGGTAAATGTCAATTGCAGGGCTCGAACCAATGAAAGTATTTAAAAATGCGGACATTACGAACCAAAATTGAAAAATTACGGACTAATTACTGACAAAAATATAACTAGTCCGAGTCCAATAAGAGAACATTTTACTTAAAACTTTTTCAAAAAAATTATGTAATTTGAAAATTCAATTATTTTTAAAATTTTACGCTATATTGCTTTTAATATTCAATTATTATCTAAAATTTTAACTGAAATTCATTCATTTTTTACATATCAATTTTTGTTAGAAAATTCTACTGAAATTCAATTATTTAAATAAAAAAATAAATAATTTGTTGAATAATTGAATGCTTCTTAAAATTCACTTCCCATAAAGAATTTTTTCGATAAATTTTTAAATAATTTAATTCTTTTGACGAATTTTAATAAACTTTTTGAAAATAATTACATTTTTCGAGAAATTTGATTAAATATGTCTTAAAAATAATTATAATAATTCTACGATGAGTTTTATTATTTGTGAAAATAATTGAATCCCTAAGAAGAATTTTATTATTTTTGAACAATATTTAATTTTTGCGAAGAATATTATATTACTCTTGAAAATAATTGAATTTCTGCAATCATTTGTAATTTCTCTAAAATTCTCCAAATTATTCGTGGAATTTTTAAAAGATTTTTGGATTTATCACATTATATACAAATTATTTGTGATAGAATTAATATTTCTGTTAAATGCATTTCTTAAAAATAAAGTTGATTTATAGTGTGGAAAATTTTCTTAGCATGTACTAGCGTTACTTTTAGAAAAATATATTTTTCGCTGGAGAAAAATTCTAAATTTATTGTAAATTGCAAAATTATATTTAGCGTAAAATGAGTTTTATTCTTTTAATATATTATACAAATTGTATTATTTGTCACCTGGAAATCATGGAATTTTGCAAGCAAAAATTAGTATATAGAAACCCCATAAATAAATGTGTACGTATATAAAATATATAATATTGCTCAAATTGATGATGATACTTTGAAAACTAGTAATGCTTTCACAAATTGCAATTTTTCTTAAAGAAACTTATAAATATTTCATTGAAAGTTTATGAGATAAATAACTTGGCACAATAGGTATCTCGAGCTGTGTGGGTATTGATTTAATCTATTATAAAACTGAATAAAATAATTTAATAATTTTTAGTCAACCACATAGAAATTCGTTCGACATTGATAATCTGGACCAAGTTAAAAATAAAATCGATTCGACTGCAATTAATGAAGAAAGAAATTCAGATTTCCAAATTGCTGAGGACACCAGTATTGCTAATACTAGGAATAACTCCAATTTTGATTCTGACAGTTGTAACAATATCAACAATATTTTCCCTGTTTCTAAACTTTATCAGAGTAGTTCTACTGAAAGTCTCACAGATTTCGAAGGTATTTCAATTTTATAAGTTAATCCTTGAACATTTTTTTGTAAAAATAAATAAAAATATATTATCAATCATTGTTGGGGAATTTGTTGGCGCAAATTAGCAAATTAGTCAGATTTACTGTTAAGCCTGTTAAGTGTTGGTTTAAAAATATTTACAGGATCTGAAGATCCTTCAAATGAGACAACGCCGTCAGATTGGTCTGATTGGTCAGAAGAAAGCAATGCGCCGCCAGGATGCCGCGGAATTGTTAATCCTAACTATCCAGGATTTCATCATCTCGGTCCCTCCTTACTTTCTGACACTGACTTGACTGAAGACGAACTAGACATACAAGATACTCTAAGAGCAAATAACATTCAAGACTTTTCTGACAGAAATGAGTTTAATAATAACATTAAAGAACAACCAAGTTCGGAAAATATCAATCAACTAAATGGTCATAATTTTGAACCAAAGATATTTTACGACAAACCAAAATTCAACATTCATGTACGTTAATATTTAATTATGCATTGCAAAACTAACGTTATTCGCAAATATATAGCTCAATGGTCACTCATACAATTTTTTTTCTAGAATTTATCTTCCCTTTGCGATGCAGTTATAACTCCATCAGAAAAATGTATGAATTATGTAAGAGCTGTAGAAATTTCTCAAACCGAGGACGTTACAGAACCAAAAGTTAATGAAACAATAGAGAAATTCACTGAGGAAAATAATTTCCAACTGTTTGAATCAGCTCTGAGGAAATGCGAAACAGAAGATTCTATGGTCGAAGTTGAAATTGTCGAGTTAATGACCAGTGTCAAAGAAACACTCCAATTTCCAGAAATAGAAGAAATATCTGAATTCAGTAAAACGGTCGAGGTTAGTTATTCTTTTTTCATTAAACGATTTCATTTATTCAATAAAAAAGGATTAAATTTTAATTTTTAATATTTCGTTAAATTATAGACATCTGAAGACGTGGATCTGATACGGGAAGCAAAAGAATTGCCTCGACAAATGGGGGCATCTATGCCCAACAATGTCGAAGATTCGGCAAACAACACTGACTCTGACAGTTATTCTGACGAAAGTCAGAATTTCATCTCGAAACTAGATGAAATTGATCTTTTGTCTAGTATAGGACGAGACATTGGTGTTGATCTTGAGAAATATGTTCAACCAGTCCCAGATGTTATTGCAATGGAGCCAATTGAAAATCGATCACCAAGATCACGATTTGTCAGTGCATTGGTGATAGGAGCACAAAAGGTGGATACAAATAAACTTTTGAATGAAAAATTACCTGAAAATTCAATTACAGATGTCAAGAAGAAAGAAAAACTGGTTAAGAATCAAGCTAAGAGAAAAGAGTTGACGCATTTTGGATGTTCAGATAAGTTTACCAGAGATGTTGAAAATATATCGGGTAAATTTAACAAATTTCATTTTTTAATATTTTAGGCATATGTATAAATCAAATGCTTTTTCATAGCAAAGAAGTAGAAAATATAAAAATTTTAAAAAAAGTAACTGATTGAACGACTCTATAATTCTGCTATAAATTTATATGTAATAGAAGCATGAAATGGGAAAAGTAAAACATATCACTTTTTTATCTTAGTGGAAAGAAAAATCTATTTAGTATTATATCTGCACAGTGAAAAGAAAGTCTTAAACTAATTAATTAATAATTAAATCTTTAATTAAGATACAACATTTTTGATACAGCTCATGCTGAATTCACACTATCGATTTTGGAGGATTTTACTTGTAGAAATATCTGCAAGCATATGGAAAAGTAAAATAATATTAATTTTAGGTAATTTTCTAGGTAATTTTGATGTCTACAATATTGAAACAGCAATGCCAAAAATTGACTTGGATGCAATCGAAATACATTTGATGGCAGCACGAGAAGAGGAACGTCGGGTAAGTAAAAATTATTAAATTTGGCTCATTAATATATTTATACATTTGCAGGAAATATAAGATTCACTTTTTTTAAATGGAGGATATGATTATTCGTTTTTAGTATGGCTTTTATTTAAGGTGTCTCTATTTCAATTCTCTATTTGCCTTTATTAGTCGGTAAATGTAAAATGTAATTTCACAATACATTTACTTTCACTATGTATAGTATTATAAAAGTATGTCTATCAAAATAGTTCAGTTTCAGCAGCGTTACGTGATTAGCTATATTTTCATCTCTAATTTACTTATTAAACTATTAATTGTACGAAAAGTAATATAATTACTAAATTTGTTGATGAAAATATTCAAATTACAATATTAAGAAAATTATGATTAGAAGTGGAAAGAATCGCAGTCATTATAAAAAAGATTCACGATTTATAAACGAATTATATACGTTCACATATGATAAAGATACTGATTTTGTAAGTGTTTTGCTTCATATTTATTTATTTATTTATTTATTTATTTATTGAAGAAACGCTATATAGGTATTTTTAATTATAATTTTACTTATAACATTTTTAATTAAAAATTTATATAGCTTAAAAAAGTATTTTTTATACATTTGATTATAACTAGTAGTTAACTTTTGCTAAATATATTATTACCTATAATAATTATTTCAAAACCCCTTTAACTAATACAATTACTAAGAGAAGGGAATAATAGATTATTTCTGACTGAGCCATCGCACATTGAAAATCGTAAGACTTAAATCGTCCAAATGTCCGTCTATCCAGCTGGACGCACATAGAATCTCGTTGAAAGGGGTCGTTCAAGTACATAGATAATAAAAATATATAGTTCAAAACTTTGAAAATTTTCAGTTTTTTTATAAATTGTTGACTTTGAGGATAATTTCTCTTAAAATTCCTCTTACTTAACATACATTTTTATTTTCCACAAATTATGTATGTAAATAATATTTTATTCAATGTCAAATTTTAAATGATATAATGTGAATTTAATGAACAATTTATTTTTATAGAGAAGAAATGACAGAGAAGAGATTCGAAGAAGATTGGCTATGGGTTCAGATGCAGATGAACTTAAAGTTGAAAAAAGCAAAAAACCTAGTCTTCAATCGCGCCTTCAAAATGGTATGTAGATTTTTACACAGGGCGCATTTGTTTATAAAATAATTTTATTTTTTGTAAAAGTTTAAATTTTTTGAAAACCCTTGAAAAAACTTAAAAATCTTGCTTATGAAAAACAATAGAACTTGTAAAAAGAGTTGAATTTTTAACTTTTCAAGAATTTAGGGCTCTACTAACAAATTTATCAAGTATTAAGATTTTTCTAAATTCTTTCCAACTATCATATTTTTAAATTGTTAAACAACGTAAATTTCTCTAATCCCGCCCCTTAATGTGATAAAAAATTGAAATTTAGGTATGAATCTACAAATATGCTTTATGAATGAAGCATCTTCAGATACAGAAACTGGAAGTATAGACAAAGAGAATTTGGTTAATTCAACTTCATCCATGATGACAGGTCAATGTCATGAAATTCTTGGAAGAAATTTAATACCTCAAGTATTGAGTCTTCCACCGTTGAGACTTGACATTGTTCCTAATTCTGCACCAGTTGATGAAGTTGACTTTTTTACTCGACAAACAAGATTGCAAATGGAAGCGAAAATTGCACTTTCCCAAGCTAAGGAAATGGCTCACATGCAGGTGGAGGTTGAAAGGCAAAAACTCAAACATAGTCCTATCACCGAAATGGTTCGATCGAGTCTTGCGAAGGTAAAGAATAGAATAGAATAGAATAGAATAGAATAGAATAGAATTTTATAAAACAATAATGTCTGTGGGCATATATTTATTACAATATTCTTATTAAATACAGATTGGCATTCAATTGAGTGAAGAGAGACGAAGACTTTCTCGAATATTACTAACGGAGCTAAATGTTGCTCAACTTCAAGTTTTAGCAAATGATCTTCATGCGCGAATAGCCACATTAAATGAGAATTTGGTTGAAGGCTTACTTAGAAGAGACGATCTTCATATGGAACAAGACTCAATGCTGGTAGATGTGGAGGATCTTACACGATATTTGTGAGTTGTTATATGGAGCATTCACAGTATAACGAACACAAGCAAATGCAAGCAAATATTTTATGCACCAAGTGTCATGGGTGCGTCTTTATCACGCGAGACAAAAGACGTACCTGTGCCACCTGATGCAACTCAGGCGTATTAAGTGATGTTGCACAAAACTTATTTAGTAAAACTTACAGTAAAACTTGGTTTATTCAAGATACTGTGGAGAGGAGATATCAAGAATAAGATAAGATCCGATTTTTTTCGTCTTATCCGGGCATATAGATCGATTCAATTAATTAATTTCGATGCCTCGGATAGTGCGGAAATTAAGTCAAATTAAAATCGAAGGCCCTGTAAACGAGGTTTTACTGTTATATAACGAGTTATATGCAAATAACATTAATCAATAAATTATCCACTATGTTTAATGTAGAGGTGCCAAGCAGGAATCGTTAAGAAAGAAACAGCCTTTTAAGGGGAAAATTGTTTCCTTAAACCAAACATACAAACATCAATATACTTCTAATTCACCTCATCGTCAAGCAAACAATGAAATAAAAAGTCAACAGTGATCAATGCAAGTCTAACCAAACGTGCATCTAAATAATTATCAAGTTTATAACATAAATAAATTATGTATTATCAATGTAAAAGAGTGCGATTTACGGCGCATAAACTTGCAGCAATATTTACTTGCAATCCTTAAATCCAATTTAATGTTCTTAAATAGGAACAATATTGCTACAATTTGAAATGTCGTGGGGTAGAATTGAAAATTTCAAAGAAAAGAAAAAAGATGTAAATTTGCGTAAAATTCTTATCTTCATAGCATCATCGATCGTTTCTACAACTTTGCATGTTACCATTTTCTACAATTAAAATTCAACCTTAAAGTATGTTTTCGTCAATTTAGAAATGATGATGTTAAAAGCACGATCGTACCGCGTTGCAAAACTGATGCATGTTACCCGTTATGAAGAAAAGAAAAAAGAAAAGGCTAAAGTTAAGTAATATGTAGATTAAATATTGGAAATACCAGTTTTAAATTTGCTAAATATGTTTTTAGTAAACTAAACGGAAAGAGATATAAAATATCTTTTACTATTTAATTTAAATAAATAATAAAACCTAAACTGTACTTCTGCTACTTTTTTCTCGCTTCAGAGTAAACTTTAATAATTTTTATTCAAATTTACTCCTGAAATAGTAAACAATGACAGAAACACATTTTTAATTTCCCCATTAGTCTTATCTATAACTTTGAACAATATTTAGTGGATTTATTACTGTAATTTCTAGTACTTGATTCGATGCTTATTCAAGTACTTTTTCATTCTAGATATTGTATGGAGAAATATTTGTAGTCGAGAAAAAGTCCCCAATTAATAATTTGAAAATTTGCAGTATTTATATGAGTTATAACGATATACAATTGATAATTGTAAGAGTCATATCCGAATAAAACACTTAGATAATATAAAAGTCCAAACTATTTAAAACTATCGTTTAGATTATATACATATTAATCAAATACAATTCAAAGTTTAAAACTTGCCTAAACGAATTCAAAAATGTATTTAATCCAGTCCGCTTACATTAGATTCACTAAAAGTAGAACAAATCTATACAATCTTCAATTATCAACAATAAAGTTTATATATTCTAAAGTTAAATAGGTATTATAGAAAATTATAAGTTGTACAAAAATTCATATATAAAATATAACACGTTATAAAAATTTTATTCTTACTTTTACAAGCAAAATTTCTTTTAAGCTTTCTTAAAATTCATTATCATTTAAATAAAGTGATAAATTATATTTGAGCACATGACCAAGTGCGCATCGCATCAAGAATCTCCTCTAGGAGAGAAGACAACACATTCATTTTCTTATGCACTTTATTCCTTCTTTTACGTTTCATTTTCAGCGTTTTCAAGTTTTCTTATAGTCATTTTCGGAATCGTTGATGTTCAAAACAACGATTTGTGTAAAATTCATCGTTTTCAGCAATGTATAGAGAAAAGTATAATTTTATTTTAAAAACAATTGATTTTAATAATTGTTTTCATAGTGAGAAGTGGTTTTATAATTTTCAACGGTACTGTATACTACTTGTAATTTTTATGTAATTATAGGAAAGTCATAGCCAATAGTAGACATTATCTAAACAATCATTTTAATAGTATTATAAATATACAACTTGTAAATGACTAAACCATAACAAGTGGCAACAAATTCACCATCATTCTCTTTTTCTGTATTGATAGTTTTGATTTCCATTCAGAAACAGACTGGAAAAGGCACAGAATAATTAGTAAACAGTTTTCCTTAAAATTTTATATAATATATATGTCTAATCCTTGAAAGGAAGCACCAATGATTGAGATTTCAGCAAATGAAACTTTTACTGATTTATAAAATTCTTCCAAAGTTACATCTTCCTCATGAATTTCAGAAATTCTTTAAATACTTACAGCTTTTATCAAAGATTAGAAATTTTACTATAATAATAATAATAATAAAATAATAATATGAATATTAATGCAAATAATTAAATTATTCTTACTGTACAAAACTTAGGTCCAGATAGTTTTCTTCTTAATTTATAATAAAAGAACTTTTCCCTTAGATTGCAATACATTTTTAATATATGTTTTCAGAAAATCTTACTCTTGGCACAAAAGTAATGTACTATGTATTTTTATTATTTCTTGAATAAGTTGAAAGTTTTTTCCACGTGTTTTTTTCTGTTAACAGGAATTTATTTCGGATTTGCGTTCTTGAATTACTTCATCAATACATAGTTAACTAATTTAATTAAGTTATAATTCGAAATGTGAAAATAGATATATACACAAATTATTGTTCATAACAATATTAAAATTTATATAGAAATTATGACATTAAATTCAATTTTTTTTATTTGTTTGTTCCCATGTACTTATTTGTTTTGTGAAATAGAAATTATATTTACAATTATCATAGTTGTTTAAAAATATGTTGTTGGGTTAAGTTCTCAGTACATTACTAGGCGCACAAAATATTATTTATTTAATAATTGTAAAAAATTATTTTTGATAAGTACAAATAGTAAGCAAAACTAGTAACTCCAACATTTAGCAATGTATTTATCCGTTTTTGTTGATATTTTGCAAACTATATGTCTATTTGCACAATTAAACATTAAAAAAAAAGAAAAAAAAAAAAAAAAAAAAATGTCGATTTTCTCCAATTTACAAATGCATTAAAATTATTAGTCAAAGCATTAATTTTGAAATAATAAAAGTTGCAAAATTATGTACAGCATACTTTTTATATCTGTAAATACCTTTTTGAAAGATCATTATTTATATAAAATCAATATAAAAATAGCTGTTTTAAACATTTAATACTAAAAGTCACATTGAAATTTGAACGATAAGTGAAAAGATCTATGCGATTTATGCAAACATGAGCTCAAGTGTATTTGTCTTGATGAAAAAATATAATTATGACAAAAATACAAGACTACTTTCAGCCATAAAAATTATTTAGTAAACGGTATGAAATGTATAAAAATATTATGGAAAAGATTACATTTTTACAAGTTTTGCAATAATTCTCAAGTGAAAAATCACATACGTGGCACAGTAGCAGATAAGTTACGATTATCTGATTTGATTGGGCATTGTGTGGTCAATAAACAAAAGTTTATATTTTAATTGACATATTAGTAATGACGTTAAAAAATGTCATCGAATTAATGGCAGTCACTTGCCCATACTCGCATTCGCAGGTAATGTAGCAGACCTTTGTTGAACTGACAAATAAGGCTTGAGCGTTGACCTCGTCGATTCTCTGCAATTAGGAGAGTTATTATTAATTTGCTTCAACAATATAATTTATCGTAAACTGAAGCTGCTTCAAAATTCAAAATTCAAACAAACGACACTTTACAAAAGAGACAAAAAGAAATAAATCATTTTTAAGTTGTACACCCTTTGCTCTCAAAGAAAAAACAACACATGCAAACAATACACATGACATGATATATTTCTATGACAATTTGTAAATGAAAGATGAAAAAAAGAGAGAAAGTTAGTTGTTGTTGTTGTTGTTGTTTTATCAGATTTAAATGAGTCTACTTTCATGCAATAAAAATATGAAATTCTTCTTATTAAACATAACCAAAAACATATATATGTAACAAAATAAAACTCTTCTAGGACATTATGCAATTATTTCAAGATAAGCTTACACCAGATGGTAATCTAACAATGTCTACTTGATTGTGTAGACTCAAATAAGTGGCCAAGAATTAGAGGAATAAATGGTAAACAATAAAAATTAAATAGGTAAATCCTTGCCAATATGGCGAGAAAAGGATAAAAACAACTCTAACCTCTCTACACCCAATCATGCGGTGACACAACAGAAAAGAGCAATTTAGTTCCCAGTTGAGCTGCTCTGCTACGCTACCTTGGCGAAACTCGTTGTCCTGCTCCATCCATATGTGAATTTGCTTTGTATCCATACTTTTGAATTCTCCTCGATAATCGTGTTACCCAATATTTCTGATCATCAGGACTTCCCGCGAGAACGAGCAATTCTCGGGCGCTATTAGGATCATAGTGTAATTTGCATGGGGCTATGGCGTTTTCTTTTTTATCTAAATGCTCCTTATGGACCTTTATATGACACCCTAGAAATCAAATAAACTCTATGTAAGCAATTTATACTTGATTTGCTTTCTTACAAACCATACAGAAAAATAAGTTATACTTCTTTTAGAATTAACAGGGCTCGAACCAGTTTACAATATTCAATTTTACCAAGTTTCAATTATTCGTCAATTTTTCAATTAAATAAATATTAGAAAATAATTTATTTAAAAAATTCAATTAAAATTCTTCAAAAAAATTAATTTCAAAATTCAATTATTTTTTAAACTTCACGCTATATTGCTTTTAATATTCAATTATTATCTAACATTTTAACTGAAATTCATTTTTAAATCAACTTTTATTAGAATATTCTACTAGAATTCAATTATTTAAATATAAATAAAATGCAAATAAATAATTTACTTAATAATTGAATGTTTCTTAAAATTCACTTCCCATAAAGAATTTTTTCAACAAATTTTTAAATAATCGAATTCTTTCGACGAATTTTAATAAACTTTTTAAAAATAATTACATTTTTCGAGAAATTCGATTAAATATGTATTAAAAATAATTGAAATTCTGCAATGAGTTTTATTATTTGTGAAAATAATTGAATCCCTAAGAAGAATTTTATTACTTTTGAACAATATTTAATTTTTGCGAAGAATATTATTACTCTTGAAAATAATTGAATTTCTACAATAATTTGTAATTTTTACAAAATATATTTTTTTTTGTGTTTCTAACTAAACATCTTCTATAAATCTATTATTTTTAATAATTTTTGAAAAAGTTCTTTAATAATTTTCAAATTCATTTGTTAGAATTCAATTATTTGTAAATTCATCAATTAAATATTTATTATAAAATAAAAACTTGAAATAGTTTCAATGAAAATTCAATTAAACATTTAAAAAAAATTAATTCTACAGAATTTTTGAAAGTTCAACCTGTAATACTTTTAATATTCAATTATATCGTACAATTTACGAAGTTTGCATCCTTTTTGAATCAAATTACGCCAATTACGGACTTTACGGACCTTTTATAAAATACTGACTTTTACGGACTTGAAACAAATTTACGGACCTAGTTCGAGCCCTGAATTAATTAATTAAATTACTTTAACAAAACTTTGATAAAGCTTTCGAAGGAGAGATCGAAATTAAATGGCTAAGTATTAAGAATATTTCTTATGTTCCACTGTCTCATATACAAAAATAAATTCCAATTACACCATGTAATCTTAGTCTTTAATTTCAAGAAATTGTTTAGCATTTCACCCAAAATCCACCATTAAGTAATTTTAATTGAAAAATATTTAAAAAAATGATAACTTAATCTTCTCCTTTTTCAAGTTTTTTCAAGTTTTTTCTAATAAACAAATAAAATTTTATTGAAATTGTTAAGAGTGCTCAGAAAAGAGATAAATTAATCGTGAAATTGTAGGAAAAAGAACTTACTTCTACATTCAAGAGCAGGTGGTGGACGAAACATATGCCACAACTGCTTTGAACATACTTCACAAGTGGTTGGCATGTGGTAGGAGATAGAAATAAATTCATGGCCTTTAAGTGGTTGAGGAATTGATTTGTCAGTCAACTGAGGAAGTTCCACTCCTGGCAAAGCATTACCTTCGTCACCAGGGCGTCTTGCTTCACCTTCGCCAGCATACAACAACTAAACAAATCATTAACCAAACAGTAAATTTTTGTATGCTTGATCATAAATATTTAATATATCTAACTACCTGAAATATCCTAGGAATATCTTTGGCATCTGCTCGAATCACGTCTTCTTGAGTAACAGATCTCACGTGAAAAACTTTACTCAAGTCCAATATTAAAACAGGATCAGCATTAATTTTATCGCTTTCACTATTATAAAAAATAATTTTCTTGGATGATACAACGACGTATTGTTTTTTCCAACCGTGTCTCTTAATATTTTGCTTATTGGGAACATTCAACCAGCCCTCTAATCTCATGGCACCATGCTCAGACAAAACGGAGTCTTCTCCGTCATTTTCAACAGAGGAAACACTGGCCGTCTCTGAATTAATAGATGTTATTTTCATTTGAAGTGTTTCTATTTCAGAGTCTTTCGAGTCAAGTTCCATTTGAAGTTTCAATTTGGATTGATTCTCTTCGACAAGTTGGGCCTAAAATAAAGTATGTAAAATAGATGAAAACGATATTTTATTATACTCAAATTATTATATAATTATACACGAATACAAACCTGCAAGTCCTGGAGATCTTTTTGCCATTTCGCAGCCAATTGGCCATACTTTTCTCTTTCCTGTGTAAGTTCCTGTTGAAGCCTTCGACATTCCTTTTCTTTTTTCCTTAAATCTGCGGAAGATGCTTTATTTTTCGACTTTCCACCAATTGACAAATCTTTTCTATTCACTATTTCTGCCAATTTATTTACAGCTTGCAATTTGAGAAGCTGCTCTGTTTTCAGTTTGCTGCTCAGTCTTTCTATTTCATCGACATTTGATTGCTCTTTGTTGAGTTGGTCCTGAATTTCTTTGAAACGTTTATTTAATTCTTCCTTCTCCTTTAAATATTGTTCCACTGTTTTCTTCATTTCTAATTCGCTATCCTTTAATCTATTGACAACTTGCTCCTTGGAATTTAATTCTTGATGATGTTTAGCTATACTGTCTTTAAATTCTAATTCTTTCATAGTTCTTTCCTTTTCTAAATCAGCCACTGTCTCTTCAGCAATAGATCTTGCTAGTGCTTCAGCATCTCCCCTGGCAAGGGCAAGTTCAAGCTGATGACAAAACGAATTTCGTTCTTCCTCTAGTTCTTGATGTGATCTAGTTTTATCATCAAGCTCTTCACGGAGCTCTTGTGTCTGCGTTTTATATAAAGTCTGTATGTATACAAAAATTTACACATGATGAAAAAACAAAGTAATAGGACCTGCACACTTGCACGCAAAAGGGACTCATTGCTCGGAAAAATTCTGTTTAAATATTCTGTTTAATTAAAATTTAGGTACTTTTTCAGACAATAAGTCCCTGTCAATTGTTCAAATCACACATACAATTATAAAAAGTGTTTACCGAAAAATATGCCTCAGCTTCTAGTTGTTCTTGAAGTTCTTTCATTTGAAGTTGATCGACGTTTCTTTGGGTTTTTAAATGGTGTAATTCTTCTTCAATTTGCCGTTTTGATTCTCTTAACTGCGCAACCTCATCCATTAACTGTTGTTCTCGAGCTCGTAATCGTCCAGCTTCGGAAGATTGTTGAGCCAGTTCTGTTTGCAAATTATTCCTCTTTTGCTGTTCCTGATCTGCTTGTCCTTGCAGTACTTTGACCTTTTCGACTTCTTGACGATGTTCGCCTTCAAGTTTCTGTAAACGTTGCTGAATTTGCCGGTAATCCACGGATAACATAGAAGTTTGTCGTTCTTTCTCTTGAGCGAGTGATTCTGCTCGTTGCCTACCGCACTTTTCTTCATTTAACTTTACTTGTAAAGCTAATAAAGTTGAACAGAATTAATTATGTTAATAAAAATGCAACATTATAAGTTATAAGTCATTATAAGTCATATTATTACAAAGGTGAAAAATATCCTTAGAAATATTGTTACCTTTAACAACTTCGAGGTTCGCTTCTTCTTTTGAGAGCATTCTCGACCTTTCTGTCTCCTGATGAGCTACAACTTCTTGGTCATATCTAGCTTGTGCTGCTTTCAATTCAAGAGTTAAGGTAGCCGCCTCCTTTTCTAATTCTGAAATTCTTTCATTTAGTTGTCTGTTGTCCAAAGTAGCTTTTCCTTCTCTTTCACGACTATGCTCTAGTTCTTGATGCAAGGCAGAAAGTTTCGTTTCCAGTTCTGCAGTAAAAGAAGATGCTTGTGATCGGGAACTTCTTTCTTTTGATAATTGACCCTAAAAAGAGATGATGTCATTTAAATTTAATTATATGAGTTATAAATAATACATTAGGATTTAAATATCAATTTTTACCTGTAAAGCTGCAACCTCTTGTTGCAAAGAATCCCTTTGAGCTTGTAATTGATTTCTTGCCATTTGCAATTCATTAGCCATTTGTTCTGCTGCCTGTCGAGCAACAGTCACTTCTGTTGACTGTTTTCGCAGTCTGCTGACAGTTTCAGTTTCTCTTTCAAGTTTAGCCTGCATCTCTTTTATCTGTTTTTCCAAGCTAGTGATGCGTTCAGATGTTTGCTGTGAATTGCTTGCATCCCTCACTCTCCTCGTTTGCTCCTCGTCGAATTTTTTTTTCAGCTCCAGAAGTAACGACTCTGCTTTCCTACGAACATCAGTTTCCTGCTCAATTCGCCGTTGGGCTTCTTTATGACTATGTCTCAAAAGAGCCAATTCCTTATCAGCCCTGCCTGCCTCCTCTCTAAGTTGAGCTTCTCGCTCGGTAATTGCTTCTAATTGAGCTGTTAAAGTTCGATGTCTTATCTCTAAACTTTCCATCTGTCGTCTCTCTCGTTCGAGTAAATTTTCCAACTGTGCTAATCTTCCTTCATCACTGATACCATTATTGACATGATTCTCAAGACCATCAACAGACTCCCTGCTATTATTAACCATTAACTGATAATCTCCCGAATAAGTAAATCCGATAAATGGTAAATGATTTCCAGAAAATGCTTTTGGAATCGGAAAACTTTCCTCTGGCCCGTCTTCCTTTTCCAAGTCATCAAAATTACTAGTGTCATCGTCTCCTGTTAATTCTGGTACCACTGGTGGCACACTTTCTCTCAAAGTCTCAAAAGTCCACTGATCATTTTTAAAAAACAGGTGATTTTTAATTTCATCGACTCCATTGCTACCTAAACGTCTCGTTCTGTCAGTAAGAAATCCACAAATTAGACTCTTTGCTGCTGGAGTTATGTCAACATCCGCGTGAAAATGAAGAGAATTTCGATGATCCATAATTTTTGAGTAAGTTCCCACCAAAGAGTCCGCATAGAAAGGAGTGTCGCCAACTAACATTTCATAAAGAAATACTCCAACAGACCACCAATCACATTCGCGACCGTACACACCTTCTCCACCTTGCGATTGGAGTACTTCGGGTGATATGTAATCGGGCGTACCTACTGCAGTATCGGAGCGCACCAAACCGTCCTAAAATTCAATTCAATTCAATTCAATTCAATTCATTTTAAATATTCATTTGTAAATATTTAGTTAAACAACAAAAGTCTTTACTTACAGCGTCCATTCGCATGCAAGTGCCAAAGTCTGCTAATTTTAAATGGCCTTGTTTATCAAGAAGCATATTGTCCGGTTTGACATCTCTATGAACGAATCCCATATTGTGTATCGCATCCAGCGCGAGTACCACTTCCGCACAGTAGAATTGTGCCCACTTTTCCGGCACATCATAATTAGACATCATGTTCACTAAATCACCACCTGGCATATAATCCATAACCATATAAAGATATTTGTGATCTTGAAAGGCGAAATGTAATTGAACGATCCATTCAGAATTTGCGTGAGCCATAATATCTCTTTCCTCCCAAAAGAAAGCCGAATCAGATCGTTTTATCTGCAAATTTAATTAAATTCAAATTAAATGTTCAAATTACTCTTTAAATCCTTCGACATAATAAACATTTACACCCAACCATTTCAAATTTGCTGAGAATCTTCATAGCGAAAACTTTTTGAGTGGACTTGTGTCTGACCAACTGCACTTCACCAAATGCTCCACGACCAATAACTTTTATCAAATTGAAGTCATCTGTTCGCATTCGCATTTTATGAATTTCCTGCGCAACTGAGTCATCTAAAATATTTAAGAATATTTAAGTAGTATTAATTATCAATATCAACATCAACATCAACAAAATTCAGTTAAACACATAAAGAGACATTTCACTTACATCTGTTCATAAATGTCTCAATGTTTTTCATCCGCTTTACGCTAGGGTGATCACAGTCTGCTACAAGAGCCTGCACGGTATCTAATAAACAATCAATATTTGCATTACTGCGAGGATCTTTTATACGATCTTCGAGAGTTCGAAGACGTCTGGTTCGGTCTTCATCTCGTGCAACCTCCATGATTTTCTTTTTAGTCTTAAAGCTTTCGCTACACAGTCTTTACCGTCCTCTTTTGATTATTGTTCATTAAATCAAAAAATCATACATCTTTCATTACATACAGAAAACATGTGATAACTTCACAGCCATTATTACTAGTGAAATTTCATTTTTTCTGAAAAAAAATAATAAAACTTGATTATTACAAAAGTTTTGATAAACAATAATAACAATAATAATTGCAATAATACTCTACAAATAAATGTCTCGTTATTATTTCATACAAATTTTAATTAATTGTTTAAGTCTAGAACAAAGCAACAATTAATATAAATGAGTTTTTTCATTTTAATAAGAATGTTTTAAATACTGCTGAAAAAAGATTAAAAATAAAAAAAATTCAAGTAGCAAAATAAGGAAAATTTAAGTTTTGCAAAGAAATTAATTGTAAAATAGAAATCTAGAGTTGAAAAGTACCTACATTGGAAAGTTTTTTTTCTCTGTCTATATTTAATGGCCAGCGTGCACTTGTAATTAAACTCCATGTACTTGTTCAACCAAACATAAAATCACACTACTTTAAAATAAGTATATGCAGTAAAGAAAAGGTAAAATTTATTTGTTGACAGAATGAAGGAATACAGTTGTCTGTGACATCAGCGATTGTCTCGAGTTTAGGAGGGTCCAACGGCAGGTGCTACAAAGACGCCGTTTTCTAAATATATTTTCAACCCAATAATCAATCAACAAAAGAATTCACATTTACGTACCTATAGAATCACCAAGATAGTGTCCAGCACTTTGTTAATACTATAAAAAGTCGACAAATAAAACTGCATTCTCGATTACTTCGCGTAGTAAATGAATATTTTCCAGCTGAGCGGTACATGCGCCATTTGGAAAATGTACTACACTAATCAAAACCAAGTTTCCTCTATACATACATACATACTACGTATAGAATAGAAGAAAAAATTCCCACGTTTCACTTGCATTCCATTCAATCTCGAAATATTTATTTATTCCTGCACATAGAAAATTTGAAATTATTAAAAATATACTAAAATTAAATTTGAAAACAAGTTTCCCTACGCATGTATATCAAAATGCATAAATCTCAATATGTATCACATCACATCACATCACCTCACGCATATAGATTATTTATACATATACATAAAACGACACGATAAACTTACCTTATTTTTATAGGTTATGTTCGATGGTATTATCTCCACCCATACTAACGTTGCGTATAAACTGCATGAGTTTGTGTGTACATACACATGTAAAAATGAGACTTGCAGAATATATTACTTAAGTTTTAAAAAAGTGATTATTAAAATTTTTTAATAAATCATATGATTTTATGTATAATTTAAAAAATTAAATATTTCCTTTCATTATATGTAATGTTTATAAAAAAAAGTTCAACGCACGAAGCAGTCAAGATGGCGAAGAGTCTTGCTGTGTTTAGAAAATAAGTGGAATTTGTATTTTGACAGATCGCTTTAAAGCTATTGAGTCATTTTCCCAAACTGATAATATTTACAAGGTTTTTGTCTTCATGTTTCATCTCATAAATACTCATAAATATTAAACGTTCACTTCTTCTTGTGTTTCTATGCTATTCATTCATAATTTGTTTCTGATGGAGACTTTTTTTATTCCTCTTATTGTTTATGTTTAACTATACCAACATATTTATAGCAAGCGCAAGAATAGACACGTCCGTAACCCTACGTCATACACCAACAGAACGATTACTTGAGTTTCTCCTACAAATAATATACATTACTAGACATTCAATACGGAAAACAACATCACGGATCTTTGTCAGAGAAATGTGAGTTTTTTTGCAACTTTTCATTCAAAATAATTGATGTAGAAAAAAATGTGTCAAATATTTAGTATACTTTTTACATTGTATAATAATATTATATTCGCATTACATATTTACATATTCATATTTTATTGACAATTATACATGTCTGAATGTTTTATGAAACAGTAGTTAATAAATAGTAGTGCAAATGGTTTATGTAATGTTTATGTGTTTAGTTTGACAAGCGGCCATCCAGAAAAATGGGATTCCCCTGTGATTGGCAAACAAAAAAACAGAAAGTGTCACAAAGAGGACAGTATCTCTTAGAAACCGGACAATGGTCCGATTGCAAATTTATCGTCGGTCGAGAACCACACCAGCAGGTCCTCGAAGGACACAAGGTATTCTTAGCCATGTCGAGTCCTGTTTTTGAAGCTATGTTTTATGGAGGAATGGCTGAGAAAAGTGATCCGATACCAATTCGAGATGTTCAACCAGAAGCTTTTAAAGCTCTTTTAGAATATATTTATACTGATCGTGTGGATTTGGGATCATTTGAATTGGCTTGTGAATTGTGTTATTGTGCTAAAAAGTACATGCTGCCTTTTCTTGTTGAAGAATGTACAAAATTTTTGTGGTCAGACTTGTCTCCAAAAAAAGCCTGCAGGGCTTATGAATTTGCCAAGCTTTTTGAAGAACCAGTATTGATGGAAAAATGTTTGCAAATAATATGCACAAAAACACTAGATGTCTTCAAAGAATCTAGTTGGGATGAAATAGAAATAGGAACTCTTTTAACAGTTTTCGAGCAAAACGATTTAATAATTTCTTCTGAGATAGAATTATTTACTGCTCTAGAACGATGGTCAAAAGCAGAATGTGTGAGAAAGTCATTGGATCCCCTGGATAAAAAATCACAAAGATCTGTTATTGGCAATTCTTTGACAAAAATTAGATTTCTAACATTAACACCCCAAGAATTTGCCGAAGGACCGGGACGATCAAGTTTATTGACGAAAGAAGAAGCTTTTGCAATATTAATGAATATTTCTTCAAGCAACAGTGAAATTTCTATGCCTGAAGGCTTTTCCACAAATACACAGAAAAGATATAACAATAAGATACATCTAAAAACAGTAGGTTATCAACTAATTATTAAAGACTTGTATTGTAATTTTAAATTTAAAAGTGTGTAACACAAATTTATTGTTTTAAAGGTTCCTAAGGTTCCTATAATTGAGTGGACAGCCAAACGCATATCAAACCTTGAAGAGTTGTATCCCAAATGCACAACTCCGTACAAGGTAGACAGCCCCTTTTTTTCCTTCAATTTTCCCACAACGTCAATGGGACGTTCAACACTTGTACCACTGACTGACGATTTAGATCATCGAACCAGTTCATTGAGAAGTGGCCCTTCATCTTTAGCATCAGGAGAACATCCTTCAATTATTGCTTCTCATACAGTTTTCGACAGAGATGGAGTCAAATATTATTGCACAAGAAATGTTCTTACACCACTGGATTGTGTCAATACAAGCGTATTGGATTGTTCGGTCACATTTACAGTGGATAAAAATATTTGTGTCCTCGGTGTTCAAGTACCAACACAAATACAAGTGAGCACAAATGCAAATGCAAATGCAAATTTAATGAATAAATACAACATTTTTTACTGCTTCTTAAAAAATAATAATCCATTTTATTTCAGTTGACTAACCAAGGAAATATGTTTCCAATGGATTCTTCATATACAGAGGTTTTATATGCTCACCTCCTCGATTCAGATGGTTCACGATTGACGTACACTCACTTTACTACTAAAGTTGACAGCGGTACTCTTGTTGAAATTACTTTCAACCGTCCGGTTTACATACAAAAGAATAAGGTAAAGTTTATACTTTTATAATACGATGCATCAATGCTACTATAATAATAATTGTTAAAATATAATTATAATTATAATTCTTTTCAATAGGTATATCGAGTCGGAGTGGTTTTCAACAAAGTTGGACGGTATCCGATGGGAATTTGTTCTCAAAGTATGAACTGTGATACTGTTCTTTTCACATTTGGAGCTGGTAATGTAGACAATAATACTCGAGATGGATTAATCAGATCTATTGTGTTTACTTATCACTGAAATTTTTTCAACTCATAAAAATAAATCAGAATGAATTGTCAAATTGTGATATAGAAGACGCAGTGTTGTATATGTTTATATTAGCCACATACATTTTTTGTGCGTGAATTGTTATTTGTCAAACTGAAGACAATTTTAAAAATACATGTACAAATTTGAATACATTTTAATATTAAATATTAATTATTATATTACAACACAATAATATAGATGTATAATTATAAAATTAGACATTTAGCTTATTTTCTAAGCATTAGCCCAAGCAACATGTATGTTATGCATTACAGTGTCGTCCTCGAGATAATATTGCATGGAATGAAAAAAGAATACGTACGTATTGTCAAATTTAAAATTGTACTTTTAATATGCCATGCAATATTAATTTTAAGTCAAGGTAATGTACGACTAAAAAGTAACATTATTATACATTGCATACAAATATTTTATATTATATTAAAGTCCATTTATTGTTGTTTAAACTAATGCTTAGAAAATAAACTAAAAACCGAAATATATATAATTATTAATCATATTCGTATAAGGGACTTTTATTTAAGCACAAATTATATTTTCTTGTTTATGAATTTGTATTATTAATACATGTATATTATATGTATAAATTATTTTTAATTGTATATAAATTAAATTACAAAAGAAAAAGAAAAGAAAACTTAAAATGCCTATTTATAAACTAATAATATATATTTATAAAAAGTTAAAAATTATGATGAATTGAATGAGTTTCTATAAAAATTTGATTTGTGTGATTTTTTTACCTACATAATAATTAAGTTGAAAATATCTATTGTATATAACATTAAATTCATAGCTCGTTGAAGCAATCATAGATGATACAAAAATATAAAACTAAAACGTCAAGTATTTCTTACAGTTGTTAGATTTTGATATATGTATTAACGCTTTTATGATTTTTGTTAACAAAACTAATACTACAGTAATTATAAATACTATTTAATTTATAGAATAGAAATATTTCATTCAATAAATAAGTAGCAATTACTATTTGGCAATAGAAGATTAATCTGTAAGTCAAGGAAATTGTAAAAATTTTGTAAAACAAAATGTAATTTGTTTCTAGCTCCTACATAAATTGAGCTAGAACACAAAAATTAGGTACATAGTTGAGAAAAGCGAACACGTGATTGAATTGATTAATATGCATATTTAAGATTAACAAAGAAAAATTAAAAGTTAACAACAGAAAAAATAATAGTGTGTTTACTTATAACCCTATGTAAACTTTTTAAACTTGCAAACAATTTTGTCATTTCTAATGTTCACAAACAAAATTTTATTTACGTTTTAAATTGAAAAATGTTTTCCATTTCTGTTTTTACCATTTCTAGTACTTGCTTAAAATTGCAAAGCTGACATTATTATTAGTTATTGTAGTTAGAAAAATGGACAAATTAAATTATTACTTAAATGAATTAAATGTTTAATTTATTAATTTTTTAAATAATACATATTTAATATTACTTGAGAAAATTCGAGCATAAAGCGTTGGTAGAAGGTGTAATAAGAGATAGAGAGTAAGTATATAAAATTGTAGTTTATTATAAAAATCTTTAATTCAGTTTCTAATTCTCAGTCTTGGAAGACTTTAAATTTCTTTATAAATTTAATATCAAATCGTTTAATACGACACAAAAATAAATTAATTTTTACAGCTTTCACCTTTTGCAATTCCAAAGCTATACATTTTGGCAACTTTAGTACATTTCGCAATTATAAAATATAATATAATTATAATGTATAAAGTTTAATATAAAAATTAGATCAATAACATTATATATATATATGATTTTGTACATTTTTGTTATTATTATTAAGTAAAATTTATCTTATATTGAATTTAAAATTGTTGTTGACTATTACGAGTTCACAACATTATTACAGAGTATTTTATTGCCTCCAATTATTATAATAAAACAGGAGAAAAAACTTATTCATGTTTTATGAATAATAAAGTCCCATGTTTCGCTCCACCGTAATTTTAAAATTTCTTTAGCACTTAGAGGCGTTATTCCATAGCTAAGGGAAGCGAATTTGCGAAAAACGAAAACAGTAAAGCCAATCCAAAAAATGGCGAATATTTTAAAAATAAACCAAAAATGCTTTTGCTTGAAATGAATTCTGTAAAGGAGTAACATTTTATTAGAATTTTAATTAATTGAGAAATGTTCTTAATAATTTCATTTAATTTGATTATTTTCTTATTTTTAGAGAAATATTTAAATTAAAGAAAGTTTTTAACTAACCTGAGTAGAGAGTATATATGATCTATGGTGCCAACTGTTAATAGAGTTTTATACACAAAGGCTGGTAAATAATGATGTAAGAAAAGAGTCCTTTCTACAAATATAAAAGGCAAATAGTGTAATAAATATCCTGTTAGTAAAACTTGACCAATATTTGCAAATTTATTCCATTCTGCTTCAGAAATATCATAACAAAGCCTTTTTCGTCTCATCAAATAGAAAATTAAGAGTCCTGAATATGTTATTACTGCAATTGTTCCAGTATACCAAATAGCTATATTTCCCAAGAGATATATTTGAGCCTAAACAATAATAAACTTTTAATCAGTTTAAATATTAAAATTTCTTATTTTATCATCAATTTAAGATTAAGAGTGGCAAAAAAATGGAACCCTAACAACATATATTCCTTTCCTTTGCCACACCCTGTATGTGTTTCCATAAAAAGTGTGTTAGTTTGAGAATTTTGAAGAATTATTCAATGTCAACTCACATTACTTTTAGTAGAAACCCAGTAAGCAATGCCCCTGGTTAAAAAAGGCCACTCAAAGGGTCCACTAGAGTACATATGACTATTTTGTACTTCATCAGTGTCAAATAGCATTTTCATTTGTAACTCCAAAAACTTTTCCCAAAACGATAAACTCGTAGCCTTCAATGGAATCATTTCAGCGTTAATCAGTTCTCGTTCCCTCTGCTTTTGGTCCTCACTTTTTGTGTACCTATGTTCCTCCACATTCCACACGGCATTAGATTGCTCAATTATTCTATCTGCCACGACTTCGTGTTGATTAAACCCCCATTCGGGCAACATGCGACCACTAAACTTCAGAGCACATTCCGTATTTATATGAATCAGTCGGATTTGACTCTGTATGGCATGCCAGACGTTGCCTGCTTGGTCCCGATTGGCGATTTCCACGCGCCACAGGTTCTGGGCAGACATGGAGACGTTGTAGTCAATGTAACATGAAACTTCTTGGCTCTGAGGAGTCATCGGTGCTGCAATGTCGTGTGAATTTAAAGCCCGACTCGTGATTCCATGAACTAATTGTATAATGTCGCCATGTCTAATAGGTTCGCTAGGCTTTGTAACGACCAAGTCGTTGATGTCGTGCCGCTTAACGATCCACCAATTGTTGACGTCTTTGAACGAGTAGCATGTTACTTGCTGCTGATGTGAGCTTCCCCGCTTATCAGGGTACCGCAAAGGATACACTTGATTGTGACTGTGTAACCAACAAGCTCTGCCGTACGTGTGACGAAGTGTGATTTGCGAACCATGAGTCACTTCCAAGGGCTGTCCTCTTGTGATACTGGCCAGTCCTCCTTCCAGACTGGCCTGAAATGCACTTGTCATCGCGGAATCATGCGGTCCGGCTTTCGTTAGTACTGACAGGTGAACGTAAAATACTCCTAAATAAACTACTGCCATAATGATGAAGAGAACAGCAGCTCTCAGAAATAACTGACACCAAAGTATTATATTTGAAACTTCACTTCTTGACAGTAAGTTCCAATAATCTCGTCCAATCAAGACCAGTGCAAGAAATAATGAATAAAACCCTACGTACTTGACACTGAAAAATAAATATTTTTAAACATATTACTAAGCGAGATATAATGAATTCTAATTTTAGAGAAGAATAAAAATTTATCAATATACATACCATAATGCACACGTCAAATTCACAGTCCCCAATATTAACCAAATCCACCAGGCAAAAGTGAAGGGTTGATCATGCACTTTTCTGAATTTCATTACACATAATAAACCGACAAGTAAAAATTGAATTAAAATACTTTCCATAAGAATGAAACGTGACTGGGTTAAGAGAGCGTTATCTGAAATATAAGGTTTTATTTCCTGTATAAAAAAATGTCTGAGACATTAGGTCGATATTAGAACGTGAGCATTCTAAAATATTGTTAAATAAACAATGTATAAAATCTATTAATCTTACCAAAAAGCAGCATTAAGCCAGTAATTATGCAACTCCAATGTCTAAGGCCAAATTCTTTTGATAAATAGTAAGCAGTAGGAATGAGAAAACTTCCGCATAACGCAGGTATTAATCTTAAGGCAAAAAGAGGAACTTTTTCATCATAAGGATTTCCTATTCTATCAAACTTGAATTGTCCATCAAAATTTGCTAAATATGCTGCAGCTGACACGAGTTGCTTTCCCAAAGGAGGATGAGAATCGAAAAAAAATATTTTTTTCATATAGAGACTTATATATTTGCCATAGTGCAATTCATCAAATCTATTAAAGATAATTGAAAAAATTAATTCATTTTTTAAATTAATATTGACATAAATTTATTCAAATACTAAAATAATACATTACACGATATTACGAGGTTCTTCCAGATGGTAGAGGCGAGTAACTAGTCCAGATATTAATAATATCACAGCCACTAAATCTATTTCAAAATTTACTTTAAGCCGAATTGGTGATGTAGTATTTACAAATTGCTCCTTCCTTTCATTATTTAAAGTTTCGTTATGCGATATTCGTTCATTTGTATTTTTTGTCATATTAGTCACAATTCCATCAGTTTTTCTTTTCTTTAATTCTTTATTTGCTGTGTCTACAGGCAGATCATTTTTCTGTGGAATAATTTATTTATAATACAAAGAGGTTATTGTCATAAATTTTAATCTTTAAATAACTAGAATAACAATTTTACCTACCGCTTTGGAAAAAATTTGTTCATTGGAATTTTCGGCATTGAAATCAAAATTTCCAATAGGATCTTTTACTTTTCTACGTCGTACTTCCATTTCGTATTTTATAATTTTTTATCAGTCTTTACAATACTTGAATTTAAAACGATTTAAAATAAAGAAACCATTTTATATCAATATGCTACAGAAAATAGGAAAATAAATTTCTCTTATAAGTAACATGCATTGACCTGACCATAATAACGGTACTTAGCGGTTCCACACATTTCCACATGTATCACACATGTATGCAGAACTTTAAGTTGTTGTTGCCAGAGCAGGTGCACCGTAATGGGGCACGCACACTGGCGGCTGCAACTACAGTTAAGGTTGAGTCCACAATTCACTTCTTAAAACGTTAGAGTTGTTTCGAGATGTGACGTCAGATAGTTCGAGGGAAAACAAACAGCGACACGGATAGAAGCATTCTTTCTTTCTTTCTCTTTCTCTCTCTCTCTCTCTCTCTCTCTCTCATTATTCAACACAAGCACAAGCATGTAAACACCGTCTTATTAGTAGGTAGTAGTTCAAATTTATTAATTGATTTGAAAACCACTCTAACATTAATAATTTGTTAAAAATTCTAATTAAAATGTTTGAGAAATTATTTATAATTATGGTAATGAACTTCTGATCAGTTATTTACATAACCTGAAAAGATATTATACTATAAAAAGATATAAGACTATGGAAGAAAACTGATTGAAAAATAAAAAGTAAAATAAAAAATTTAAAACAAAATCAAACACAAGATATCCCTACTAAAAATAAAGTCACCAAACGACAGAAATTTAGTCAGATTCTCTAATGATTGTAGACTAGTTTTGTTACGATTGCAGAGATTGCAGTCACAACCCAGTAAGAAAGTAAAGATTAAGAAGCATTAAAAAAATTCTATCCTTTTGAATTCCATTTCTGTCCTATGCTTCTGAATTCCGCGACAGTAGTTGAAAAGTTTACAATTTCAATCCTTTCAAATGCTCATACAAATATAGTATAATAATATAATACTATAATATTGTTGACATTGCATAGAATGTTCAATTACTTTCAAATAACTGCACTCATGACTTTATTTGCTATTTTAAAAAGGAATAATTATTAAATTATCAGTTAAGAGGGTTAAAAGTGTTTAAAGGTCTCTGACATTTTTAGGTTATGATTTATTGTCTAACAGAATATCCCAATGAAAAATTGAAAAGTGATGTAATGACAGGCTGTAATAATTTCGGATGGGATTGGAAAGCATTATCAGAAAAAAAATTTGTCTTTGTTAACAATTACAAACAGAATTGAATAGCATTCATTTTTAGACGAAACGTGGTCCTATCATGGTATAGAAAAGTATTGGATAGAAATGGCATTCAAAAGTATTGGATAATTTCTACTACACCATACAGAGTTTGAATTATTTCAATCCTTTTCAATTCCTCGCTTCTCACTGGGAATATACGTCAGCTTGAGTCATATTTAGTGAGAAAACTTTAAAAGTATATTTAGGTTTTTTATACAAAGTCGACACCCTCTCGACGGTCAACTGACCGTTATAAAATTAAAGAGAACTCTTTTTATTTGTTTATGTTTATATTTATTTAAACATTATACTTTATTTTCATCGACTTAGAATTCTAACAATAATATATGTTCTTATTTTATATACAATATGTATATCCTTTAGAACTGAAATTCAAAAATGATATCCTTTTTATTTAACAATTACGGTTTTCGAGATACGTTGCAGTTTTCTTGAAAAAATCTTTTCTATGATAAATTTTAGATATTTGTAATCGTCGAGATTTCTAGATTCTGAATTTTTATTCATTTCACTTAAAATGTTAAAATTGCAAAACTTTTGAGCAATAAAAATCAGGTTAAAGACCCGAAGCTCGTAACAATAGACCCGCGACGATTCTATTGTGAAAAAAGGGCTAGGCACAAATTTCAAGTTTTAACGGTATCTTTCGTGGGGGACTGTAAAATAAAAAAAAAAGAAATGAGAAATAGTCACAATCCATAAACATCAGGATTCAACAGGAGTAGAGTTATTCTTTTACAATATTTAAATTGGAGTTAAAAAATCTTTTATCTGATGATAGTTTAATTGCTCTATTTGTTAGACTATATATTGATAACACTAATTTTGTATGATAAAGGTTTGTAAGAATGGAAATCAAGTATCTTAGGTTTCCTGAACCGATTGCTGTAAAAAATGTTTTTTTTTATATGAATAATTATACAAACATCTAGAAAGCTGATTTGATTATTTTTTCCAATAAGTTATTTATAAAGTTTGAAAGGGACAACAATATACACTGAAAATGCAAATTAACCAACTTTTTAGACACTAGCTCCTTTTTATTTTCTTGAAAACCCATTGTTGTCACATTTTCCAACTTTACATAATTTCTTGTAAAAAATCTCAGCTAACCAATGGAAATGATAAAAAAAAGATGTAGTTCATCAAGTATAGTGAGAAGTAGACCAAAGTGCTTTAAAATTGACTACCTAATAAAAATTAAAATCTGTCAATAGTTCTGTCAAATTATACAGATTTGAAATTACCAATTAATTTTTAAGAAAGTTAATATTTTATGATTATATTTACTTTTATATAGAACAACAATTTATTAGAGCAGTGTTGGGTAGCAACTCGTTACTATACTTATTTACTCAAAAAATTAAGCTTTACATATAGTTACTGTACTTTGAGATATTAGAATTTTTGTTAATTTTTTGAGCTATGTAATGCAAGTCTTGTAATGACACCTAGAAGTTGCAAAATTATAATTCAAGTTTCAAAAGCAATTGTTGGTAAAAATTAATGTTTGACGCGAAGTTGAGTGAACACTGCATAAAGGTTTAAAATTTCTTCAACTCTCATGCAATGTTCAGTCAACTTTTACGTCAAACATTGAATAACATCGGGCATTTAAAGAACAACTTTCTGAAAATTTTCAGTACTGTGTGGGATACTATGACACTTTTTAATTAATACCCACTTTAATTAAAAGACAAATTGTTTTTCGAAATGGCAAATTTTAAAGTAACTTTAAAAGTAATTTAGCTACTTTTTTAATAAGTAACTTAACTGTAATGAGTTACTAAAAAATTAACTTTTGCACCAGAGTTTCAAGACTCTATATATAATATACATATGATATTATTATCTTCTAGAATTTATAGAGTGAGTATTTATTTTTTCTTCACAAACAATTCAATTTTAATCATCTTGACGGCTTTCTCTTTTTTCGACTGTTTAAGCAATTCGACGACTTTATTATATAAGAAAGGAAGAAAGAAAGAAATATTCACTTATGGAATAATAAAAGAAGACATTCTCTCTAATAGTGGGGATGCAGCTGCTTGGTAAAAGCAGTATGAATGTGAATTTACTTGCTTAGTCTTGTTTAACAAGTGCCCAAGTAACATGATTGTTTTTAATTTTTCGAAAATCTTTACTATTTACAATTTGACATTTTAAGGAATCATCTATCAACAAGATTGTACGTGTTAATAGTGTTTCAAATTTTTATCTTAGGATTTTTCATTTATATTATCAAAATAATTTATAATTTTATTTGGTGAATTAATTTTTATACATTACATTGATAGTTATTTTTTACGAAGATAATTTGCATTTGCATTTCTTTTATTTACTGTAGGTAAATAAAAGTAGGTGCTCATTATTATTTTCTTCCAAATACTTGTTTTCATTATTTCTAAATAATTATATGCATTTTAAAATGATTGTTTCTTGACAAGATTTTAATTTATATTTTGCTTTCACTTTCTATCATCGATTTTGATAATTTTCTATTTATGCTGTAACTGATTTATTGCATGTCAAGATAAGGTTTCTGTGGTATATATTTTTAATTACTCCTCTTATTTATTTGTATATATATTTTTGCAAAACATTCTGCTTTAGTGAGAAGCAATGATTTTATGCTATGTAAATTAATTTTAATTTGTATTCAATCCTATACATTTTCATGAAAGTTGTATCTCTCTCCTTTGCGATGTGCGCACGTTGTGATTTTACTTTCACCTCAAACTACTACTTGTTTTTGAGGATATGAATATAATATCTTAATCATATCGTAATATAATTTTTTTCTGTTAATCATATTTAATGTGTTTAACTTACCCGGTAAGAAGAGGTTGATTAAAATAGATTAAAATGTATACAAATATCGCTAAATTCTGAATCATTTCAATGCCAAACTTATGTCATTTTGAACTTCCATGTTTTAATTCCTTTAAAGATAATTCATCTGCACACATTTATATTCTATTTAATTCGGTATACATTTTACTTCTTATTGGGTAATTAGAATTGAAAACAATTTCTTGTAATCATTAGAATTCCATTTATGACTTAAATATTGCTGACTCTTTAATTCATTTGAATGAAAAGGTAATAAAATGCATTAAAATGACTGCATATTATATGGTCAAAATTAAATATGCTTTAATGCCAAACCAATGTCATTTTTGAAATTATGTGTAAACATTTTAATCTATTTAAATCAACCTCTTCTTACCGGGTTTTCTGTGTGTAAGTTACATGTTCACAGGAATTATATTAATTATAAATTAAGTTTCTCTATAATAGCGAAAGTATTAATTTTTTTATTAAAATCCTTAAAATTTCGCTAATATAGTGAAATGAAGATTTTTTCAGTGTATTTCCACTAATTGAGGGCGTGGAACGGATAACTGCCTGCAACGCATGGTCGAAAGGGACTATACCAGTCAACCAGTCAGACAATAGTGAGCGCCTCTAGGCCTCTCACTGATGTCTGACTGGTATAGGGTATAGTCCCTTTCGACCATGCGTTGCAGGCAGTTATCCGTTCCACGCCCTCAATTAGTGGAAATTATAATTGAACATACAGTGAAACTTACTACTAAATTAGTCGTATACCTATCACTGATTCAAATATAGTTAAGAGAGTAGGATTGAGGTATTTCACTGAAAATTATTGTAATTGATGGCCATACAGAGTCCGCATAGACATAGACCCTATATTTTAAGCTTATTTTTACAATATTATTACAATATGTTTTTATACATTTTGTATAATATTTTTGTTTTAATATTATTATTCCAATATGGTCATGCTGACGTATTTCACTGTTCAAATTAAGTCTCAGTGGAGTTGAACTCCCAATATTTTACTCTTTGTCTTTTTTAACTCCAAAAGCATTCAACTTTTATGGAAACATTTTGAGGGTTAAATTTTAACTCTTTTTTTTAAAGTCATGTGAAAATAATAAGCCTACATGACAACAAATTTCATTTTCTCAGTGCTTTTATTACTTACATTGCAATTTATGATAGATAAGATAACATGTCTGGGATCAATCCAATGGTATTGGTGTAGTAATTAAAATAACAATATGTAAATGATAAAATGCAAAGTTTTATTTGGACACAGTACTAACAAATGTATTCATTAATACTAAGGAAATGTAAGAAAAACAATAAATTATTTTTTAAAGTTTGCTGCTTTTTCAAGCGCCATTCAATTAAACTCTATCCCAAAAACAAGTATAATATTAAGTGAGCTCAAAAATGTATACAAGTTAATTCTTGAAACATTCATCAATTCAAGATAATGATATATGTTTATCTATATTTTTTGCTTTTAGGGTTACATGACTCAGGATATCGAAACTATCTTTTAAAATGAAGTTATTTATTTTATTATTCTCTTACTACTATTTGGCGGATGCTCAGTGTTTATCGACGAATGACAACCCAGTTATCACTAATTATGATGCAAGGAATTTACTTATCGATGGACGTTTTCAATTTTCTTTAAATGTTTTAAAAATAATAGCAAATATAAGTGAAGGTGAAAATTTTTTCTTCAGTCCAATCAGTTTACACGAAGCCTTTACTCTTGTCTACTTTGGTTCTCGAGGAAATACAGAAAAATTACTGAAACAAGCTCTAGTTATTCCGGAACATTTGTCCAAGGTCGATGTACAGAGATTTTTTTCTTTTGACAGTAATGATAATCGCAAGCAGGTATTTATTTTCTTTTAAAATTAATAAAATTTGTAAATATAATTAATGAATACGTCTTAATACATCAAATTATGGTTTTACGATAACTTTCTCGAAATTTAAAACAATACCACTAATCGTTGTTTTGAACGAATAGAGTAATAATAAAAAAAAATTTTAATTAATTTTAATTAAATAATAAAATTATTTTTTTTAAACAGTTATTTATTTTTAAAAATATTCCCAAGCAGCACGTAATATAATCTTAAAATGAAGGTAATATTACATTAGATATTCGAATAAATATTCCAGGTATCTATTAAAGTGATATTAAAATGTCCGCCTTAAAGGGATAATACATATACCTTCCGTATATGTATTAATAATAATTTCATCCTAATTAATAATATTAATAAGTTAGTTTCATTTAATTCTTTCTTCCGACAATCGAAAAAAAAATTGTTATTAATTATAATTTTAATAAAATAATTGTTGAAAAAAGAAATGTTATATCATTTAATTAAAATTTACTTAAATAATTTATTTTTATTATTGGTTTTTTATGGCAAGCAATAATTAACCAATAATGGCTGCCATAATTATTAGCATCCGCATGGACATCCCGCGATTTCACCATAGTATATATATAGTGGTCCCATATTGGAGAAAGTTTCCTGAAAATTAAAATTAACTTGCATGCAATCTTTGGAGTCTTGACTTGAGAATCTCATGAAACTTAAAGTAATCTTTAAATGTTTATACTGTTTTTCAATATTTAGTCATCTTTAGCGTAAAACAATTAAAAACAATTTTATTTGAAGTTTCATAAGCTTCGTAACTAAAGACTCCGAAGGTTGTAGCCTATGTTAATTTCAACTTCCAGGAGACTTTCTGTGCTGTGTGATATAAGCCTAAAAGAAATATATTTTTAAATATTTGTAAAAAACGTCGTCTTAAATATTTTAAAATGTGGAAGAACAATTTATCTTGATGAATTATATCCAAAGACTATACTGATTTTGTGTCCCCCAGTGAAACATGCAGTTTAAAAATTCAATCTCTTTAGTTGTTATAGAACTTGAGACTTTATGAGAATGTTATATTTAAACCTTACTATTAAATCTTAGTATAACGAACAAGTTATTATGTATTTGTATGCAAAAATTTGAATCCTTAACTTCCCCTCTTGACGTCCCCTAATGAAACTAAAACACTTGTAAATACCACGAGGAAAAGTTTTTAAACGAGTAATAATTTTTTCTCATGTATTTACATGTGTAATAATATATCCGTTATGGTGAGATTATGTGTTAGGATATAAGATAGAATCTATATCTTTATACCATGGGAATCTATTAATTGGAATTTCCATTATTAGAATCCTCACATAATATTCTAGAGTAAAATTGGAGAAGCTCCCATGGAAGTTAAGTTTTGTGTAAAATATGTAATTTGACATTTTTACAGTTACACTTATACTTTTTTTTTTAACAGGTGGAAACCTCATCTGCGCAGTTACCTAATGTAGAATATAGCGTAGCAAATCGATTATGGATAAAAATCAATGCGAATATTAGAATGTGTATGTCTGATATTTTTAATCACGAAATTAAGAAAATTGATTTTCGATCTAATCCTGAGTCAGCAAGAAATGAAATCAATCATTGGATTAAGAATATAACTAAAGGAAACATACCAGAATTACTGCCTTTTCAATCTATTACCGAAGACACTGATCTTGTTCTGACGAATGCTGTATATTTCAAAGGATTATGGAAAAATCGTTTTAATTCTGAAAATACCAAGAGAGATATTTTTTACCCGTCTGAAAATAACGCAACTTTCGCAAATTTCATGCGTCAAAAGGGAACATTTAATCACAGTAAGTAAATTATTAAATTATTAAATTATCCCTCCTATTTAATTTTAGAGAAACATTTATAGTTATCTGGGTTAACTGAAAACATGTTACATCTTATCACACACTGTATGTTTTTCAGCTATTTCAGAGGTTCTCGGTGCCCATGTACTTCAGTTACCATACACAGATGAAAATATTTCCATGTTTATTTTTTTACCGCCATTTGCTGCTGCCAGTGGCATTAAAGCACAAGATGGACTTGTTCAGTTAATTGAGAAAATGACTACATCGCGAGATGGCTTGGCAGAATTACACGAAATTCTAGACGGAGGAATGCAGGCAAAATCAGTGGATGTTCAAATACCTAAATTTAGTTTCGAAGAAGAGTTGCCTATGGTGCCGCTAGCTCAAAATTTAGGTATTAGTGAGATTTTAGTGCCAGGTGCTGCTAACTTGTTAGGTTTTGTAGAGGATGGAGAAGAAAGTTTACACATTGGAGATGCTGTACACCATGCTAAAATAGAGATTACCGAAGAGGGTACTACTGCTACTGCAGCTACAGCTCTCTTCAGCTTCAGATCAAGTAGACCTACGGGGCCAGTAGTTTTTCATGCCAATCATCCATTTTTATATATAATATACAATCATTCATCTCGTAATATTCTATTCAGTGGAATTTTCAGTAAACCAAGTAAATAAAAAACAGTTTATCTATTAAAAATTTTAAACTATATAATGAAAGAATATAAAAGGAACTATGTAAATATCTTTCATATACAGTATTCCAAGTAGATAATTCCAAACAGTACGTAATACCCTACTAAAAATCCCTGTATAAGATCTTGTACAAGAAAATGCACACGTTCAGCAGCTGAACTTGTACAAGTTCTGGTAAGAACATGTACAATTTCTTGTACCAGGATTTGGAACAAGTTCTTGTATTAGAACTTGTACAAGAAAATGTACGAGTACTTGTACAAGAAAATAAACTTGTACAAGAAAATGTACAAGAACTTGTAAAAGTTCAAGTACAAGTATTTGTACATGAACACGTTCATGTTCTTGCACAAGTATATTTATAAATAATTTTTTTTTAGAAAATTGGATTAAGTAAATTAATAAATAAATTTTTTTTTTAAATTGGCATTTTAATAACTTATAAGCATTAAGACTCTCCACTTTAGGCAAGCCAAAAACTATTGCGCAGCTCTAAAAGCTTATAAAAACTACTGCGCAGCCTTTAATGTTTTTAATTTTTACAACTTAAAAATAATGTTTAAAGAAAATGTACAAGTACTTGCACATGAACCCGTACAAGATCTTGTACAAGATCTTGTACAAAATCTTGTACGGGTTCATGTGCAAGTTTATTTTCTTGTACAAGTACTCGTACATTTTCTTGTACAAGTTCTAATACAAGAACTTGTTCCAAATCCTGGTACAAGAAATTGTACATTTTCTAACCAGAACTTGTACAAGTTCAGCTGCTGAACGTGTGCATTTTCTTGTACAAGATCTTATACAGGGATTTTTAGTAGGGTATTTCCTTAATGTCACTAACTGCAATATTATATCGGGTATTCGTAATATTACCAAAATGTTCTGAATGGATTTTCAATACCGCACAGACCTAATTAATATTGCATATGTATAATACTGACAATAATGTATCTTGAACATTGATGGTCAATATTGACTAAATATTACAATGCAATTGTCGCTTAAGTTGGATATTTACTATTTCCTCATATGCGGACAATTTAAATATAACTACACAGTCTTCCATAAGCTTCGACAATCAATACATATTTCGAACTTCGCACACGTTCATGTCTCGGCCCCCACAGCATCTAAATTTGACAATATTGCTGCAAATTTTAATGCTGTGGGGCGGGGGGTGCAAACACTAACGCCCTTGTTTTTAATACAATAATAATTTACTTACTTCCCTAAAAGGAAAAGTAAATTCAAGTGAAAACATTAAAATGTAAAAAGAGGGCATCTTATTATAAGATATATACACTAACAGTAATCTTCTGATTGTTTCTGAAAACTTATCAAAACAGATATTTTTAGAAACGGTATATGTAATGAAAAGAGGCGTTAAAGATTTTTATTTTACAGTGTATTTATATTACTATTATTATTATTATTATTATTAAAAAGGCTGTTGTATAATAAAGAAAATATGATATTAAATATTATAAAAAATAAATAATAAATATTATATTATTTATCTTTGTAATTATATTGATAGATGTTTTTTGCATTTCTTTGTTCGCGAGGAACCTAAATATCCCAACAAATTCATTAAAATAATAAAATTAGTTCAGTTTTGTATATTGTCATTTCCTGGTCAATTTTATAAAATTTCCCGGTCAAATTTTTATCAACAATTAAACAATATTATTGTACAATTTTTTAAATGATCAAGCATGAAGACAAACAAATACATTTAAATTAAATTCTTTTCAAATCTATTATTTTTTATAGACTGATGCTCACCTAGATTGTTGTTGGAATGTTACTGAACAAAAATTCTAAAGAATAGCAAATTTTATTTTAACTTTTAAGCGCTTTTAAATAGTACTAGCCACAGCCAAACGCTAGCAGGAGGTCATAATTGTCATAAAAAGACGTTTAAATTAAATTTCTTTCAATTTTATTGTTGTTTATGGACTGATAACAACCTATACTGTTTCTGGGATGTTGCTGAACAACATCCGGAAGGACAGAAAATTTAATTGTAATGTTTAAACGATTTTAAATACTAGCAGCAACAGCTCAACGCTAGCAGGAGATCATAATTGTCATAAAAAAACGTTTAAATTACATTCTTTTCAATTTTGCTTCCTCATGAGAAAGTATTATTGTAATACCAAAATTTTTCAAATTCGCTTTTTTGGTATATCTTTATGTTATTTGATCTCAGAAATTAAAAAATTTCATTACCCAATGGGAAATTAACCATTGGCGCAATAATGGTTCTATATTGGGAGCCAGCAGTACCAATGATGGTGCCATAATAGCAACCAATATTGGGCCACTATTGCCAGAGTCTTCCCGAGTCGAAATTTAAGCCCTACTTTCACCCTGAATTTTCAGGGTCTGTTGAGTGTTAGGAGTAGTAAAGTAGGGTCTAATTCTAATACAATTAGACCCTACTTTGACTCCCAAAACAGGCGGAAATTTGCCAATCTTCCATTTGGAGAAGCAAAGGAGGGTCTACTTCTAAGAAACCTATACCATACTTTTAAACCTCGTAGACCCTACTTTCATACTCCTAGATCCTACAATTAGAAAAAGAAAAATTTGAAGATTTGCTCAGATTCAATTGAAGCACTTGGGATGAGTAAAAGTGGAATTTTATGTGTTTTATGAATTTGGAGTACTTTTTGCATTTGCAGTGTTTCAAGTAATGCATTAAAAAATAATTCAAAATTTTCTTTTAGAATGTAGGGTCTAGGAGTATGAAAGTAGGGTCTACGAGGTTTAAAAGTACGGTATAGGTTTCTTAGAAGTAGACCCTCCTTTGCTTCTCCAAATGGAAGATTGGCAAATTTCCGCCTATTTTGGGAGTCAAAGTAGGGTCTAATTGTATTAGAATTAGACCCTACTTTACTACTCCTAACACTCAACAGCCCCTGAAAATTCAGGGTGAAAGTAGGGCTTAAATTTCGACTCGGGTTGGGATGATCACGACTTTGCCAAGCATTGGCAGCCAATATTGGATCACTATTGGCTGCCAAGGCAAATGCCGGACTTTCCAAGCGTTGGATATTCATTGGCAACAAATATTGGACCAATATTAGTGACCAATTAATTACCAATGCTTTAAAATTAAATTAATGCTTGGTTATTTCTTGGTTACCAATACTGAACCAACGTTTGAAATCAATATTTTAGAAATACCAACATATAGCAAAAAAACAGAATGTGATAAAAATCAGACAAAGATAATATTTGTCTAAGTTTGAGAATGCAAGCGTCTCTTCTTATATAGAACTGGTGAAACAACTTGCTGGTGAGAGGAAGAAACTGTGGCGCACCCTGGTGGCACTTATCCAAAGTAATTTCGAGCATATACTTTGAAGCAGCGCGGGGCATTTCAAATTCGAACACCAGGGTGCGCCAGAGCTTCTTTCACTCACCAGCAAGTTGTGTTACCAGTTCTATATAAGGAGAGACGCTTGCATTCTCGAACTTAGACAAATATTATCTTTGTCTGATTTTTATCACATTCTGTTTTTAACAGAGTGTTCTAATTAAATTAATTACTTTTCCTTCTCTAGATTAGTAATTCAATTTTTTTTTTGAAAAATTTTTGCTATGGTTGGTATTTGTAAAATATTGATTTCAAACGTTGGTTCAGTATTGGTAACCAAGGAATAACCAAGCATTAATTTAATTTTAAAGCATTGGTAAATAATTGGTCATTAATAATGGTCCAATCTTTGTTGCCAATGAATAACCAAGGCTTGGAAAGTCCGGCATTTGCCTTGGCAGCCAATAGTGATCCAATATTGGCTGCCAATGTTTGACCAAGAAAAAACTGTTGGCAGCCAATATTGGTCAATTATTAAGCCAGTGGTGAGCATTGGCAATTTCCCATTGGGTACGTATGTATGTGTGTGTAACATTACATTTTCATAAATATTTCAAGATTATGAAGAGCTTCGGGGATGAATTTTTATTTAAATTGTAGATCTCGCATGTGCGGACATAATCAACTTGTAGAGCATTCAAAAACGCTTCGATTGATCTATTTTTAGCCTAATTCGATTAGAAATCACGAAATTATTGGTATATATTTTAAAAACCAAAAATTGTAAAAAAGTCTTATTTTTGAAAGTTTTTTTAAAAAATGTGGAAGTAACTTTTAAAGTCTTATAAATAACTTGTAAAACTTTAAAAATCGCTTTGATTCTCGTATTTTTTAGCCTAATTCGATCAGAAATACAATATTATTCTTATTTTAAAAAACAAACATTCTGGAAAATATCATTTTCAAAATTTATAGTAAAAATAATTTTATAAAAGCAGAAGTGTTTAATGTAATAACATGTATGTAATAAAAATTTATGAATTTATAATTGTGGTGAAGCACAATTTCCAAGAAACACCCATTGCCAAAAAGTGCATCGGTGCTATTTTCTTCAATTTGTAAAGCTTGTTGAATATTAAAAAGGAACGGCTTAGTGAGAGAGCAAAATGGATAATTATAATCAAGTTCTTAATTTTTTAATAATTGTGTTGAAGCACAATTTTTTACTTACACTTCCGTCCTGTATATGTAGTTTATATTTTCTTGAACAAGATGTTGTTCATGAATTTTTAGTATAGGGGCGTGTAAAGAAAAACTTATTAGAAAATATTTGTTTTACCGTAATTTCACGTCATTTAAACCAGTGGGGCCAATGATCTCTTTTAAGCTAACACGGAAAAACCTTTAAGCAGTCTGCTCACCCGAAACTTATGTGTCAGCGCCACCACTAAACTTGTTCATCTGCACTCCCAAACTGGGTGACCAACGTACCCAGTTGTAATTTTCTAAATTTTTTGGGAAGTTTGTCTATCGAAAACGGTAATGCTACGCACCCAGTGGTGGGCGATCAGACTTTTCATGCAGTGAGAAGCGAAATTTTGTGACAGTGGGAAAAGACAGACTTCTCAAAGGTTTTTCCGTGAAGCTCATAAAAATGTTAAATGTCGAATTCCATAAGGCAGACAAAAATTTCGAACATTTGAGCCAGGCTCATAAAAGCGAGTATACTCGGAAGCTTTTAGGTTCGTTTAATTGCATCTAAAGATGCTTTTTGATACCCCACACTTTGACCAGTTTCATAAGTTTCCGATACTGCCTGTCGTAATCGTTGTAATCGGCATTTATCAAACGTGTTCGAGCAAACATGTTCATATTGCGATCGTCAAGGTTAAGCACACCTGAGTACAATGTTATTACTCGGTAACCGCGCTTCGACTCTCGCTATAGCCCGGTGTTTTTCTCACTTCTTTTAAGACATATAAAGCGGCAGGTCTGTCGTAGAGATATTGTCCAGTACGCACTTTTAGAACTCGGCTGTTGATAAACCGGTTATGTATTCAGAAGAGGTTTTCTACAGTTTCCCTCTGCTCTGTCGAGAAAACCCATTAGATGGGTGGTCCAGGAAAATGCGAGTACTTCTAATTCAAAGTCGTGCTGTAGATGCAATATTTAATAAGTTTATAAACATTAAGATATTATTTGTAAGGAAAAATCTCTCGAAGACACGGGTGCACTCTAAATCTAAAT